CAATCCCATTGAGCACGTCTGGGACCTGTTGGATCGTAGGGTGAGGACTAGGGCCATTCCCTCCAGAAATGTCCGGGAACTTGCAGGTGCCTTGGTGGAAGAGTGGGGTAACATCTCACAGCAAGAACTGGCAATTCTGGATATGCACTGCAGTACTTAATGCAGCTGGTGGCCACACCAGATACTGACTGTTACTTTTGATTTTGACCCCCCTTTGTTCAGGGACACATTATTCCATTTCTGTTAGTCACGTCTGTGGAACTTGTTCAGTTTATGTCTCAGTACTTGAATCTTGTTATGTTCATACAAATGTAAAGTTTTCTGAAAATAAACGTAGTTGACAGTGAAAGGACGTTTCTTTATTTGCTGAGTTTAGAAGGCTGCTAGAGGTAGACTCAGATCACTTGGGGTGATTGCATCCAGGGGGCAAGTTGTCAAAAGTTAACAGGGGGATGATAGTAGCTTTGGCAGTTAGGGGATAAAATTGTCAAAATCAGGTTTAAAAGGGGGATGTATTTTTTAACAAAAATATCCCTCCCTTAAATTGACCCGATTGTATCATTAGGCCCGTGGTTTGGGTGTGGAACTGTGGATGCAAGTAAAGGATAAAATGTGATCAAAAGGTTGTGGAACATCTCCATCTAAACACACAAAGGTCATGAGAGTGATAAAGAAGGACAAGAAGCCAAGGACATGGATGTCTCAGTTTATTAATGGAGGATAGCATGATGCCACCTGTATGTAATTGCTCCATCCACACAAGCCTCTGAGAAGTGAGTAATCCATTACAAACAGATCAGGTAACATGATCGATGTCTTCTGAGCTGCCTTGGATGAGAAAAATGTTGGGTTTCATTAAGGTCCCGCACTAATTTACTGTCCCATTTTTCTTATGTCACGGCACATTCACAATGAAAGGAAAGGTCTCGACAACAGCACAACAAATAGGATTTTTTCCCAGGACTCAATGCATAGGATTATACAGTTAGAATATGGTATTTCAACATGTTTTGTCTTTTTACAAAGGTATATGTTATAGGAAACAAGAAATTAAAATAATAACTGCACAGCAGTAAGAAAGGTAATTGTCGAGTACAGATAGTCGTTTTTCATACACACAGAGGAACAGCTTAGAATCACAGGGCAAAAACACTATGCGAACAATTTGCGCTATACTTAATACTCTACATTTGTAACTTTTTTGTCTTAAGACTAATTTAGGAATGCCAGACATTTTAGGGGGAAACCGTTTCGGGTTGGCCACTGCTTTACACTTATTTATTTGGGCTGTTGCCATAGCCATCATGGTCCTACTAAAACACACACCACAGACACCCAAAATAAATGCACACATCAAATCTGCAACCATAGAAATTATACTGAAATGTTTTCAGCCTATTGGCACGCAAAGGCTGCAGCAGAGTTGTAGCATTTGACAGCACATACATATCACAATCGCAAATACATTGCTGTGTCTTCTATTACTATAATCGAGAGTTATAATCACCAATAAAACAATACAAATGATATCATTATCATCATCATCATATAAGGCACGTTTTGGTTAAAGAAAGGCTTGAAAGAAGCTTTTGCATCACTCTGTCAGGAGTGGAATCTGCTGTGGTAAACAACAACAGCGTTAGAGGAGGATGCAGTCTGGATGCAATTACGATCAAAAGCATCCCCCACTGATGCCATTATGCAGAGTGCCACTCCGTTCTGTGCTGAGTGGGCAGTGCCAAGTGCGGCTTGGTGCCAGGCTAGCTGCTGTGGAGGCAGGCAGGCACAGGCTCTGTGCAAACCTCACTCTACCAAAGGCAGGAATATCACTAACATTCTGGGGTCTGGAACTTAAAGATCTATTCTGACACTAGACCAGACACTGACTGATGGTCAAATTCAGGGAGCTTGAAATTAAAAAATATGTGGTCAGGCGTGTAAGATGAAAATGGAAAACATCCCTGGATGAGGTGCAGGGTAACTGATTTGTACTTGGCAAAAATTATTCAAATTATATCAGGCACCAGCTCAACTATGGCCTACTTGAATGCTATATCAATTTGTATTGCAATTAATTATTATGTACATGATTTAACCTGACTTGTGACACATCACACCAACGATGGCGCATGTTGTAAAAATCATTACTCATTGAAAAGAGTACCATTCTATTTAGTACCGTTCGAAGCTTACAAGTAACTAATAATGGGATATTTTGACCGTGGTAAATTGGCATAAAATGGCATAATGAAACACAAAATACTATTAACAGCATGTAGCATCATGGTCATATTACTTAGTAAATTGTTTACTCTAAGATATCTCCTGTCATATCATTTATATTTCCACCTCAGTATATTTTCACACATGTACTAAAGTATTGCTGCATCGTTACTGCAGATGAAACGGTAAACAACAAATTGTATATTCTATAAAGTAACACACGAGTGGGATATGAATGATCCCCATTGCTCGTGTCTGAAAGTTTGGATGTTATTGCAAGGCTGTTATTAAATATGTATGCTTGACTGTCTACATAGACGAATAATACAAAATATATTAAATTATCTGTTATTTTTCTTGCACAGAATTGGGGAAAATAAACTAGAGGGCAAAACTAACTGACGTTGTCAAAAGTAGCCTTTTTTACCCTTATATACAGTTGAAGTTGGAAGTTTACATACACTTAGGTTGGAGTCATTAAAACTCGTTTTTCAACCACTCCACAAATATCTTCTTAACAAACTATAGCTTTGGCAAGTCGGTTAGGACATCTACTTTGTGCATGACACAAGTAATTTTCCAACAATTGTTTACAGACAGATTATTTCACTTATAATTCACTGTATCACAATTCCAGTGGGTCAGAAGTTTACATACACTAAGTTGACTGTGCCTTTAAACAGCTTGGAAAATTCCAGAAAATGATGTCATGGCATTAGAAGCTTCTGATAGGCTAATTGACATAATTTGAGCCAATTGGAGGTGTACCTGTGGATGTATTTCAAGGCCTACCTTCAAACTCTTTGCTTGACATCATGGGAAAATCAAAAGAAGTCAGCCAAGACCTCAGATTTTTTTTTAGACCTCCACAAGTATGGTTAATCCTTGGGAGCAATTTCCAAACGCCTGAAGGTACCACGTTCATCTGTACAAACAATAGTATGCAAGTATAAACACAATGGGACCACACAGCCGTCATACCGCTCAGGAAGGAGACGCGTTCTGTCTCCTAGAGATTAACGTACTTTGGTGCGAAAAGCGCAAATCAATCCCAGAACAACGGCAAAGGACCTTGTGAAGATGCTGGTGGAAACAGGTACAAAAGTATCTATATCCACAGTAAAACAAGTCCTATATCAACATAACCTGAAAGGCCGCTCAGCAAGGAAGAAGCCACTGCTCCAAAACCGCCATAAAAAAGCCAGACTACGGTTTGCAACTGCACATGGGGACAAAGATCGTACTTTTTGGAGAAATGTCCTCTGGTCTGATGAAACAAAAATAGAACTGTTTGGCCATAATGACCATCGTTATGTTTGGAGGAAAAAGTGGGTAGCTTGCAAGCCGAAGAACACCATCCCAACCGTGAAGCACGGGGGTGGCAGCATCATGCTGTGGGGGTGCAGGAGGGACTGGTGCACTTCACAAAATAGATGGCATCATGAGGAAGGGAAATTATGTGGATATATTGAAGCAACATCTCAAGACATCAGTCAGGAAGTTAAACCTTGGTCGCAAATGGGTCTTCCAAATGGACAATGACCCCAAGCACACTTCTAAAGTTGTGGCAAAATGGCTTAAGGACAACAAAGTCAAGGTATTGGAGTGGCCATCACAAAGCCCTGACCTCAATCCTATAGAACATTTGTGGGCAGAACTGAAAAAGTGTGTGCGAGCAAGGAGGCCTACAAACCTGACTCAGTTACACCAGCTCTGTCAGGAGGAATGGGCCAAAATTCACCCAACTAATTGTGAGAAGCTTGTGGAAGGCTACCAGAAACGTTTGACCTAAGTCAAACAAAAGCTGAAATAAATAATTCTCTCTACTATTATTCTGACATTTCACATTCTTAAAATAAAGTGGTGATGCTAACTGACCTAAAACAGGGAATTTCTACTAGGATTACATGTCAGGAATTGTGAAAAACTGAGTTTAAATGTATTTGGCTAAGGTGTATGTAAACCTCCGACTTCAACTGTACATACAGTGCTTAAATTCCAGTGGAATGTGTTAGAATGTACTCCAACAAGCGGAAACAGATGCGCTATTGATCTCTGAATTTAAGGGCCTAAGGGTGTATTGGCAGCCACAACCTGCGATTGAGCTCTGAAGCATGTGAATACATTTTAAAAATACAATTACAACCGATAATTTAGAAAAATCACTATTGACGGCCTGTCATTTCTAAGAACCTGTGTACAGTTAGTTAGCCTGTCCCAGTCATGGCCCATTGGTCTGTGTAGAGGAGCTCAGTGGGAGAACAGGCTCCTGTGTGTCGGTGACTAGTGGAGATTAAAATGACAGGGCATCCACCCTCTGGCCTGACAGTAGGCATCCCGTGCATGCACGCACGCACACACGCACCCAAACCCACATTCACACACTGGCTATAGAAACACAATCCACACCACAAGGCGGTCCATTTAAAAAGATAATTTCTCCTTATAAAGCTTTCCGCATAAAGACTGCACAATAAAAAAAATAGATAATACAATTCTTAAAACTTTTCTACACAGGAATAAATTGAACATCTGATTATCTCTTTGTGCCATGAGTGATCGACAAAGGGGCTTATTTCCAGCGGCTGGCCCCCTGTTGCATTGTGGGAACAGCCAGAGTGAGCGATGAGGACCACCTATTTCAGTTTGGCAAGTGGACTTAAGTTAAGGCGTACCTATGATGGCATGTGTAACCCATCATCATCTATCTCTCTCTTCCTCTCTTTGCTTTATTGGTCCCATACTGCTCCACTCCGCAGACTCTGAACTGTCCCACATTCTGGGCCTGCTGGATTGAAGGTGTCAACATTATCAACATCAAGGCCCTGTGAGGCCCCCTTCTCTGTTTTTCTCTCCTTTGCCAGCAGAAATAAGCCCCTATAGACACTGGCGGCACGATACCATCTCCCTCCATCCCTCCCTCCATCTCCCTGGCCCCTCCAGTAGGTTAGAGATCTGTCACTTTGTTCTCCAGGGCGGCTGCTATCTGCTGCAGCCGCAGGGTGAGCTGTTTACTCTGGGCTGCCGGGTCCTCATCTAGGGACTGGATGATCTGTAGGGAGACGGGGAGAGAGGGAGGGATGGTTGGGAGAGAGGAATAGAGAGAGAGAGAGGGGGGATGGAGAAAGAGACCGGTAGAGAGAGACAGACAGAGAGGGTGGAGACAGAGAGAGAGTACAACAGAACTACTTTCAATTAAAAGTATTTGGAATCGCTTTAACGATTTGAAAATATGAAGAAGAAAAAAGCAGTTCTGCACAGCATTCTCCCTGGAATGTAAAGTGAATGGCCTCTTACCCCATCGTAGTATTTGCTCGCGTACTGATAGAGCTGATACAGAGCCACTTGTATGTTGAGTTTGTCTGTATGAGTCTGGGAGATGCAACATACGATTCAGAGATGCATCTTAACAACAGACAAATCATGGCTTGAGTCACACAATCTTAGAGCAGAACGAACCACGTCTATGATTGGCTTTACCATCACTAACGTCTAGAATAGTGCACCACTAAGACTAATACCACAGAGGTATAGTATGTGTCCCAAATGGAACCCTATTCCCTACATAGTGCACAACTTTTGACCAGCAGCCTTTTGACCTGGCCCATAGGGCGCAGGTCAAAAGTAGTCCACTATAATAGTGCACTATATAGGCAATAGGGTGCCACGCTACCATAGATAGAAGGCAGAGAGAAAGGTGTTTCTTACCCGAGACACCTCTGCCAGATGAGTGTTCATGTCCTGGTCGCTGACTGATACCATCTGTCTGATGCCCTTGTAGTAACTAGACACAGACAGAGATAAGATCATCATCTCTATACATTACATACTGACAAGCGTCAATGCAAGCCCACAATATAACAGCATTGGTAGCAAGAATCTAAACAAATTGTTTAGGTTATTGGGAACTGCTGACGATACGTACTCATCGACCATCTTCTTGTAGGTGGAGATCTCCTTTGCATAGAGTAGTTTGTTACTTGGAGAGTCCTAGGGGAGATAAAAAAAATATGATAATCATAATATTGTTCTCTTATCTCTTACCTCACCACAGAGGTAAACAACTTTCAAGAGATTTTTACCTCCTCCTCATCATCTCCCTTCTCCCTCTCCTTTTCCTCCTATTCCCCCCTTTTCCTCCTCCTCCCCCTCCTCTTACTCCTTCCTCCTCCTCATCTCCCTCCCCCTCCTTCTCCTACTCCTCCCACTCCTCCTCCCTCTCCTCCTCCCCCTTCCCCTTGGACTCACCCTGCTGAGTTTGTGCTCACTCTTGGTGCAGGCATCCATGAAGGTCTGAGCAATGACGGATAGCGATGCATCCACCACCTCCGTCACGTGGACGTCGAAGATGAAGTGAGGGTTCTTCAGGATGTTCACCCAGAACCTCAGAGGCAAACTGGTGGGGAGGGGGTCAAGAATAACTCCCAACTATCAATCTACAACAGCACTCAAAGATTCTAATCTGGACCTCGAAGCCAGTTCCACTACTTTTTTCATTCTTCCTCTCTAATCAGGGACTGATTTAGACCTGGGACACCAGGTAGGTGCAATTAATTATCAGGTAGAAGCAGAAACCAGCAGTAGTCCAGACCTCGTAGAGTATAAACACATCTTCACCATTCAGTGGAACCAAATAATAGTACAAGCCAATGATGAAAACTGGTTGTTTTCGTCCAAATTAATGAGCATATGCATCAGGCATGCCAAACCAACGGCAAAACTTTATCTTTCAAATATTCTGTATCTTCAAAACATAAGTAAACTACACTTAAAGAATGTTTAAGTAAATAAGCGTGCTAATCAGCATTCCAAACACAGGTCCATACAAATCCTCCAATACAGGGTTGGTCCGGAATATCAAACAAGGCTAAAATAGATCAGGAGTACTTCTCCCTGATCACTTTAAAGGCTGCGCCGACTGAGACAGACTAGCATAGGAATTCATCTTGGCTTGCAACACCTCCTGGGACATTCAGAAAACAACGGCAAAAAAAAAAAATTATATAATGGTACAATTAAATTAGCTGGGGACGTAATTACCATGTTTGTTTGTCGTTATGGCTGATACACACATTCATATTTAATCCAAGAGGCCCCGGTTGGTTTGATAAACAAAACAAACACACGCCAACTGAATGTTGTGTAGCATAATTAAATCACTCATCTCCCATCGCCAAGTCAATCACTGACATCTATATGCAACACATTGTATTAAATACTTTAGCTTTAACCAACTTGACAGTAATTTATGTACTCAGATTGAGAATGCAGAAGAGATAGAAGTACTTTTACATTTGTATTCCGTACACTGATTACTTAGTCAGTGTGCTTCTAAGAGAGTCATCTCAGGAAGTGGGTTTGTACAGTGAGGGGAAAAAGGATTTGATCCCCTGCTGATTTTGTACGTTTGCCCACTGACAAAGACACCTTCAGTCTATAATTTTAATGGTAGATTTATTTGAACAGTGAGAGACAGAATAACAACAAAAGAAATCCAGAAAAACGCATGTCAAAAATGTTATAAATTGATTTGCATTTTAATGAGGGAAATAAGTATTTGACCCCCTCTCAATCAGAAAGATTTCTGGCTCCCAGGTGTCTTTTATACAGGTAACGAGCTGAGATTAGGAACACACTCTTAAAGGGAGTGCTCCTAATCTCAGCTTGTTACCTGTATAAAAGACACCTGTCCACAGAAGCAATCAATCAATCAGATTCCAAAATTCTCCACCATGGCCAAGACCAAAGAGCTCTCCAAGGATGTCAGGGACAAGATTGTAGACCTACACAAGGCTGGAATGGGCTACAAGACTATCGCCAAGCAGCTTGGTGAGAAGGTGACAACAGTTGGTGCGATTATTCATAAATGGAAGAAACACAAAATAACTGTCAATCTCCCTCGGCCTGGGGCTCCATGCAAGATCTCACCTCGTGGAGTTGCAATGATCACGAGAATGGTGAGGAATCAGCCCAGAACTACACGGGAGGATCTTGTCAATGATCTCAAGGCAGCTGGGACCATAGTCACCAAGAAAACAATTGGTAACACACTACGCCGTGAAGGACTGAAATCCTGCAGCGCCCGCAAGGTTCCCCTGCTCAAGAAAGCACATATACAGGCCCGTCTGAAGTTTGCCAATGAACATCTGAATGATTCAGAGGAGAACTGGGTGAAAGTGTTGTGGTCAGATGAGACCAAAATTGAGCGCTTTGGCATCAACTCAACTCGCTGTGTTTGGAGGAGGAATGCTGCCTATGACCCCAAGAACACCATCCCCACCATCAAACATGGAGGTGGAAACATTATGCTTTGGGGGTGTTTTTCTGCTAAGGGGACAGGACAACTTCACCGCATCAAAGGGACGATGGACGGGGCCATGTATTGTCAAATCTTTGGTGAGAACCTCCTTCCCTCAGCCAGGGCATTGAAAATGGGTCGTAGATGGGTATTCCAGCATGACAATTACCCAAAACACACGGCCAAGGCAACAAAGGAGTGGCTCAAGAAGAAGCACATTAAGGTCCTGGAGTGGCCTAGCCAGTCTCCAGACCTTAATCCCATAGAAAATCTGTGGCGGTAGCTGAAGGTTCGAGTTGCCAAACGTCAGCCTCGAAACCTTAATGATTTGGAGAAGATCTGCAAAGAGGAGTGGAACAAAATCCCTCCTGAGATGTGTGCAAACCTGGTGGCCAACTACAAGAAACGTCTGACCTCTGTGATTGCCTAAGTCATGTTTTGCAGAGGGGTCAAATACTTATTTCCCTAATTAAAATGCAAATCAATTTATAACATTTTTGACATGCGTTTTTCTGGATTTTTTTGTTGTTATTCTGTCTCTCACTGTTCAAATAAACCTACCATTACAATTATAGACTGATCATGTCTTTGTCAGTGGGCAAACGTACAAAATCAGCAGGGGATCAAATACCTTTTTCCCCTCACTGTATGTGTGTGTATGCATGTGTCCATGTATGTGTGTACCTGTTGGTCTTCCAGATGTGGATGGTCTCCTCATCTACGTTTTCGTGTTTGAGCGCCTGCTCGTCCAGGAAGTCAAAGAAGTACTTGATGGCGGGTGGCACCACCGCCCCGGAACACAACACGCTGCGGAAGAAGTCATCCACAAACTGCTGCAGTGTTCCCTGGAAGGAGGCAGACCAACAGACACAGTGTGAGGCAGGGCAGAGAGGTAGGGAGCTGCCAAGTACCTCAGTGCAGCCTGATACCTGCGACCCAGTCATTTACACACTGTATCTATGAAGCAAGGTTGCGTCATTGACGCACACCTTCAAACCTACAAACAAAGTTTTGTTCGAAGACTGACCATCACTTATTATCACATAGCATCCTCAAAGAGCTTTTCTTAGAGAATGAATCTCAAAGATCCCTTTCTTTATTGAATGAAATGTAACTGTACTGAAACATGGCAGGCCCACCTTGACAAAGAGCAGTGGTGTGAGACAGATCTCCTTGGTGGCTTTGGTCATGGACTTGTCCTCATATAACCTTATTATAACTGTTGTACGTACAGTACTGTAGTTATGCCTGGTAGTGTAGTTATACCTTGACAGAGAGCAGTCGTGTGAGATAGATCTCAGTGATTGCTTTGGTCATGGACTTGTCCTTCATGCTGCCCCTCTTAGACTTCATCTCATCCAGCTCATCAGGCCGAACCAGATGGAACACCTTGTCATCGTCCAACAAGGAGTTTCCTAGTAGAGAGAGAGTAGAGACCAATTATTTTACTTTTCAGTAACACATTATTTAAAGCCAGCGGATATAATGCATTATCATGTGGTTATAATGCATTGTTAGACTTTCATAAGCATGCATGACCCCTCATAACATCTCATAGTGATCACTTACTCTCCTCTTGGTTATCCTGGTTCTGGTCATAGTTCTGTTGAGGGTGAAGAACCTTGGACAGGACTAGAGTAGCGTTGTCTCGCACCTGAAAAAAAAAAAAAACACACACACACACACACACACACTGTGTTCAGCTAGGACACAATATACACCTCACTCAGGTCAGCTGATTGTCATTGGGTCTCAGGACCTAATTCATATTCCATGCCATTGATTAGATAGTGCCACTGTCACATTATTGGGGCATTTATTGGGCATTGTCTGTGTTATTCTTTCATTATTGATCCAGTAAAGAGCAGAATTAGGGCTTCTCTCTGACATCTAATGGATCAGTCACTAGAAGACTCACGTTGTAGTGGGCCAGGGTGTTGATGCGCCTCCACCTGCCCTCCTTCTGGGATGTCAAGTCCAGGTCTGACAGGATCTGCCCTGTGGAACCAGGGCGCCACTCTGTGGCAGGGGCAAGAACAGCAGCTTAGAACACCCACCCATAATGACTCAAATATATTGACATCCACCACCACTCCACTTACTAGATGGTGCCAATTGTTTCAGACTTGCTGATGTTAATGTATTCATATGCAGTATCTTCACAACACATGGTTTGGAATACTGACTGTGTGTGTGTGGAGTGTGTGTGTTCTCTTCTCACCCAGAGTGACGCTGTCCACCTTGGGTCTCTGTGAGTAGGGCAGATTCCTGTACACTGCCTCGATTATCTTCTCCTTCACCTGGGACACCGTGTCGCAGTTCAACACCTTGACGGGCGTCACATCTGGCCCTTCCCCGTGCACCAGCACCTGCAGAGTCTGAGAGGAGGAACAGAGCCAATACCATGAGGTGAGCCTGCTGTGGCAACGTTACCATGGCAACTACTGTAGGCAGGTGGTAATATTTGACACATGACAGGTGCTGTCACCTCGTCAAGGGCTGCCTAACGAGCAGCTGCCAGCAAGGGACTCACTCCGGTCACTCTGACCAGGTGACCCAGCTCACAGCTCAGACTGAATCCAAACAAACTGACCACTCGATAGGGACACTACAGATTATACAACGGATTCTTTGTAATTGAAAAAGTCTGTTGTAGAAGACTATGTAATTACTTTGTGTCATTCTTCTTCAACTCAATGAATCACAGGATGCGAGCAACCGCAACAGGATCTGTGATTGTGTATAATTTGATAATTGTCCTTGAAAAAGGAATTACCACAGGGTTTCTCTGTTTAGGGAGACAGCTCTAATTATCTGGCATTAGCAAAACATAGTTAAACACTTCTTTCTAAGGTAGCCTATGTACAGTGAGTCAAGTCTTGAATTGCTACAGTGTAGGTAGGCACAGTATAACATGACAAAAAGGGTATTGAATTGCTACAGTGTAGGTCGGCACAGTATAACATGACAAAAAGGGTATTGAATTGCTACAGTGTAGGCGCAGTATAAAAAGATAAAAGGGTTCATGGATGCGACACATAATTGCGGTCAGGACAGTCAGTGAAAAGGCAGTCAGAACAGACTCAGATGAACACAATCGCAGTAGCAGCGGTTGTCAGGGGGCGAGATTCGAGCGAGCGTGTGAGCGGGGGTAACCGTGGTAACGGTGTGGTGTCACTCACCAGGACGCAGTACTCCACATCGTCTCCCAGCAGGCCCGTGTCGTTCAGGGTGTACTTGGCCTTCTTCACTCTGGCGTCTACTGGACCTTTCTCTATCTGATGCTTGATGGCTCGGAACAGTTTGTACAAGGGCTCTCCTGCGGAGTCCTGTTGACAACACACAGAGACAGAGTGCAGCCAGAACACTCGGTACATTGTTACATCTGACACTCCTCACATAATATGAAATTACCACAAAATAATGTTTTTCTTAACTCAGGAGGCTCCTAAACGCACACATACATACATACTAATGACATATCAACAACATACAGTGAGGGAAAAAAGTATTTGATCCCCTGCTGATTTCGTACGTTTGCCCACTGACAAAGAAATGATCAGTCTATAATTTTAATGGTAGGTTTGTTTGAACAGGAAAACACGACTTAGTACTTGGTGGCAAAACCCTTGTTGGCAATCACAGAGGTCAGACGTTTCTTGTAGTTGGCCACCAGGTTTGCACACATCTCAGGAGGGATTTTGTCCCACTCCTCTTTGCAGATCTTCTCCAAGTCATTAAGGTTTCGAGCCTGACGTTTGACAACTCGAACCTCCACAGATTTTCTATGGGATTAAGATCTGGAGAGGAGTGGCTCAAGAAGCACATTAAGGTCCTGGAGTGGCCTAGCCAGTCTCCAGACCTTAATCCCATAGAAAATCTGTGGAGGGAGCTGAAGGTTCGAGTTGCCAAACGTCAGGCTTGAAACCTTAATGACTTGGAGAAGATCTGCAAAGAGGAGTGGGACAAAATCCCTCCTGAGATGTGTGCAAACCTGGTGGCCAACTACAACAAACGTCTGACCTCTGTGATTGCCAACAAGGGTTTTGCCACCAAGTACTAAGTCATGTTTTGCAGAGGGGTCAAATACTTATTTCCCTCATTAAAATGCAAATCAATGTATAATATGTTTTTGTTGTTATTCTGTCTCTCACTGTTCAAATAAACCTACCATAAAAATTATAGACTTATCATTTCTTTTCAGTGGGCAAACTTACAAAATCAGCAGGGGATCAAATACTTTTTTTCCCTCACTGTATTGAATGAAAGATTGTCATGCCATCACCTTGAGGAACTGGTAAAGACAGATGGACATCCAGTTACACAGCATCCTCTCCACAACGGTCTCTGACCTACAGACAGGACAACACACAGGGCTGAGTGACACATCTCAACATTTCTGTTACGGTCTCCGACCTACAGTACAAAACAAAGGAGTGACTGACACATCTCACAATACTAATACAAAGCAACCTTTAGCATGAACTGCTGAACCCACTCTCCATTCACAGGGCCTATTGTTTGGCATTAGCACATCCAATGAACAGTCATATGTATGTGGAGGATGTTAGCACAATGGACTCATCAGCATAATTAGCTCCTCCATTGGGGATAATTACACACGTTGCGCTATAGCACAGCCACTCAAACACTGCTGAGCACAGTTGACATTTCACATTACACAACCCCTGGTTCTGTTATACTAGACAACTGAGCTCTGTTCAGGAACTCCTTTCTGCTGTGAACTACAATACCAGAGTTGGAGACATTGGCCAAATGGACAAGCCACTGGCTGGTTAGTGTGATGTTTGCTGCCAGGGAAACCAGAACATACGCTGCTAGAACTAAATCTACCGAAACTAAAGCTACCAAAACATAAGCTACCAAAATTAAAGCTACCAAAACTAAAGCTACCAAAACTAAAGCTACCAAAACTAAAGCTACCAAAGCTAAAGCTACCAGAGCTAAAGCTACCAGAGCTAAAGCTACCAGAGCTAAAGCTACCAGAGCTAAAGCTAACAGAACTAAATCTATCGAAACTAAAGCTTTCAAAACTAAAGCTACCAAAACTTAAGCTACCAGAACTTAAGTTACAATAGGTAGAGCTACCAGAACAAGACCTAAAGCTAGAGAGTAATACCCCTGACCTGCGTAACATGAGTTTGGGGTTCTTGCTGTCGACATAGTTCCCCATGAGCTCCAGCAGCAAGGTTCTCATGATGTCAGTGTAGTACTCCAGCTTCCCATGCAGAGCCACTGTCAGCAGGGAGGCAAAGTACACCTTGGCCCGGGCGTTGAAGTCTGGACGGCCTTCCAGCGTCTTGATGAACTACACACACAGTGGAGATTGACAGAAGATCCAGTTAATGATAATCCAGTTAACATAAACTGTTGCTAAATCTTCCACCTCAAACAATGGAAGGGGGATCTCAATAATTTGAAATAGCCATCTCTCCATGTCTAATTTCCTTAATCTGCTCTATTATGAACAGATTGGACTGGTACAGGCATAAAACATATACAAGCCTCCAATATATCCAACAGGCATCTAACACAGTTTTCACCTTTCCTCTGTTTTTTAGATCAGTGCAGATTAAGATCAGGGAAACAAGAAGAGAAAGCCACTTTAGACTATTGAAATACAACCAGAGATATTATTTGGCTAGGCTCAATGTGCCTTACATTGATGAGGAAGGTCTTGGAGTTGAGCAGGTTGGAAAACTGGTTGAGGGCCTGGGCCACGATAGCCTTCCGTGCCTCAGGGATGTCCAGCTTGCCTGTGATCATCACGTCATTGGCCCCGTCCTTGGAGGGCAGGAAGAAGACGCGGTCTGTGTAGGTCTTATAGTCCAGGAAGGGGATTCGCCCCTCGCTTAGGTCGTTGGTATGGTCCTCCATCTCTATCATCAGGTCTGACAGGGGAGAGAAAAATAAACATCTGTTCTCATCCTGAGACTGTACAGCAACATACAGTAAACATATACTCCCTTACAAGAAAAACATGTCAAATTTGTCAAATTGCTTTTTTCACATGTTGAGCTTAAATTTAACTTGTAAAACCATATTTTCACATGTATTAAATTTAGAGTTCACATGTTTACACCACCTTTCTTCACATGTGAGGAGAATAACATGTGAAATTTACGGTTTTACATGTGGAAATCGGATATGCAGTTTCACATGTGAAATCCATTCACATGTGAAAATCACATTTTGCTGTTTCACAAACTCAAAATGTGAAAATCTCACTTTCACATGTGGAATTGCAAGTTCACATGTGAAAATCAATCACACGTGAAAACATTTTCAGTTTCACATGTAAGAAAACTCCAACTGTGAAAATCTTGCTTTCACATGTGTAATTGCAGATTCACACGTGGGATTGAAATAATGTTATTCTCCACATTTTTTGTTGTTGTAGTGGGAACAGTAACATTCGTAATCTCTAAAAATTATATGTTTTTCTATATGTTTATTTGTATGTTTAGCTCACATAATATATTTTTAAAGTATGCTTTAAGGTGTCTGTAATATAATAAACGTGGCAAAACGAATGCAGACATTAATTAATAAATGCATTTATATAGCTTCCAAAACATTTTTTACAATGATAGGGGATTGCCAAGATGGAGGCACGGTGGCTTCAACACAGCACCCCTATCAGTCATCTAGTGTATATATAAATCATCCAAAATATAAGCTTGTTTTACTCCAATGTTTGTAAACAAAAGAAATGTAAATAACTATGGAGGACTAAAAGTGCCACAATTAAATAAATAAATACACCATTAAATAATTACTTAAATGTGTCATTAATTAATTAAAATTAGAATTAAATACATAAATGTGTTATTAAATGTGTCATTAATTAATTCAAATACCGATTCATTTTATGTAAAATACATATATAATAATTTCACTATTTACATTTACATTTCATGGTCCTGCGTTGGAGTGCTTCCTGAATTACTTAAAACTGTCAAACTGACCCATCAAAAGTTGGTAGGCGGATCCTAACGCCTGATTGGTTACCCTCTGCATCAAGCCAAGACAAATCAATTCCGGATAATGTCAGCAGGTCCTGCTTCTACATCCTCTGCTAAGTTTAAAATGTCTCTAACCAACTCCCTGGAAAGTTCACGGAGATCCTCCATTGTCTCTATCCAGGTTGGCTTACTCTACTTCAGACCAAAGCAATGGATCAGACTAGATTCGCGTTAGCCCCGCCCACTGACTTTGATGGGTCAGTTTGACAGTTTTAAGTAATTCATGAATCACTGCAATGCAGGATCATGAAATGTAAATGTAAATAGTGAAATAATTATATATGTATTTTACATAAAATGAATCGGTATTTGAATTAATTAATGATACATTTAATTACACATTTATGTATTTAATTCTAATTTGAATTAATTAATGACACATTTAAGTAATTATTTAATGGTGTATTTATTTATTTAATTGTGGCACTTTTAGTCCTCCATAAATAACCACTGTTGATATCATGGATGGTCAGATCTTGCATCCAAAGCGTAGTCTATCGATCTGAGAGTGGTTGCATTTCTCCAGCCCCATCCCTCAGCTTTTTACTGAAACTGTGGCGGGGAGTACACTTTGCCAGTGTTTCAATTAAGGATTGCTGCTTTAAACACCTTTAATAGAGTAATAGTGTTATTATGTGGTGCAATCCTCTAGTGAGTGAGTTACTTTTGTGCCATTAATATCAAGCAAAACTTCCCAGTAAAAATGAAAAAAATGAAAATCACCAGGACATTATGGAATATCTCCGGAAGCCGTCAGAGCAGACTCCGAGAAAGCAACCGAAATGCTGCTCCAACTTCTGGGACAGATTTGGATGAAGAAAAAGTACCAAGCGAATGGACACCTGGTAAAGTTTCCCAAAAAAGGCACCCTCAGAGACTGCAATAACTACAGGGGCATAACGCTTTTATCCATGCCAGGAAGAGCATTCAGCAGGATCATCCTGGAAAGCCTTTCAAAAGCATTGGACAAAGAACTAAGAGACAAACAAGCAGGATTCCGACAAGATAGATCATGTACCGACCACATTGCCACCCTTTGCATCATTGTTGAACAGACTGGAACACATCTCTACTCCTCACATTCATTGACTATTAAAAAGCATTCGACAGTCTGGACCGAGAAACCTTGTGGAAGCTCATGGCACACTACGGCATACCAAAGGAGTTCAGCAACATCAGCCAACAGCTCTACCTACAGTCATCCTGCCGAGAAGTACACACCTCACTGACAGCTTCCTCATAAACACAGGAGTTCGACAAGGTTGCCTGCTGTCCCCCCTTCTCTTTCTCATGGCAGTCGACTGGATAATGAAGGAAACCACCACAGGACCAAACCTCGGTATACAGTGGACCCTCTGGTCCCAACTAGATGAACTAGACTTGGTCGATGACATAGTAGCCTTATCACACACAAAACAACAGATGCAGAACAAAACCTCAAAACTGGCTTCTAGCACAATTACCACTGGACTCAACATCAAAAAGTCAAAAACCAAGGTCATGAGCATGAATCAAAACACGGACCACACCATAAACCTGGACGGAGATGTACATGGAGGAAGTGGACACATTCACTTATCTGGGAAGCGTCATCGGAAAAGATGGAGGAATTGACAAAGATATACAAACAAGAATAGGAAAGGCAAGAACCTAATTTCTAATTCTAAAACAAATATGGATCTCAAAACAAATATCAACACGAAACAAACTACGCATCTTCAACTCCAACTATATGGAACAGAAACATGGAGAACCACATGAGCCACAAGCAACAAACTTTGATAAACAAATGCCTAAGACACATCCTGGGAATATACTGGCCTAACACCATAAGGAATGAAGATCTCTAGGAAATCACACAGCAAGAACAAATTGACACTCAAATAAAATGTAGGAAATGGGGCTGGATCAGGCACAGCTTGAGGAAATCACCCACCAACACGACTAGTCAAGCTCTAACCTGGAACCCACAGGGAAAAGGGAAACTTGGAAGACCCAGAACCAGTTGGAGAAGCTCTGTGGAGGCAGAACTTATAGATGCAGGATCATCCTTGAAAGAAGCACAAAAAACCGCCCAACACCGAGCCCACTGGAGGAAGTTTGTGAATGACCTATGCTCCCCAAAGAGCAAAAGGGTTTAAGTCAAGTAAGTCATGTGTTATCTATAAATCATGTCTCAATAAAGATACTTAGATGTATGGATGTGTAGATGAAGTACTTAATATGAAGTATAAGGAAGGTATAATTAAGTATAATGAAGTGTAATGAAGACCCTTGGTGGCCTTAGACAGTTATGCTTAACAGCTGTGGTTATAATGTAGTACCTGTGAACTCTTTCTTGCAGCGGTCTCGTACACTCTCCTCCAGATTCTCCAGCTGGTGTTTCACCTTCTCATACTCTCTCTCAGCCTGCTGGCTCTTCCTCCTGTGCATACAACACACACACACAGCAATGAGCAAAGACAAAAACCGACACCAACATACACTCTAACTCATGTAACATTGTACATTTCTGTCAAGTGTGCATCATTCAGCTGGCTTGGATCCGTGACACCAACTGAAGTTGTCGCCCACACATGCATGGAGAAAGACGGTATGGTGTACTGTAGCCTACCTGTAGCAATAGATAGATATGAGGATGATGAGTAGCATGGGGACGATGACTGCAGGGATGATTAATAGAGACACCTCGTTCTTCCTCTCGTAGTGCACCGAGCCCACCACCCACTCTCCATTCCCAAACTTAATCTGGAACACACAGGTTACAGCAGGATCATTATTATCAATACTGTAGATAGGAGAATGCCTTCAAAACAATATTGGCAACTTTTAACATTAAGTTGCCCTGACACCAAATTACTCTGGAACTATTTTGGCAGGCAGAATTTAATTACCCATCTTTAGGAAACTGCAGATAAATTAAAAGATAGCAAAGACAGATCAATGTATCTGTGTGGTCCAGTGTGTGTGTGTGTGTGTATTCTCACTAGCAGGTCCAATGGGTCGGAGCTGGTGTCTCTGCGTCTGCGGTGGCGTTTGGAGCGGGCCCGGGGCTGGCTGGATGGGGGGTCCAGGAACAGCTTGTCATCCTGGAGGGTGTTGACAAAGTAGGGGACGTCCCCCACAAACGCCTGGGCCTCCTTGGCTGTCATGGCCTTGGAGAAGCCTCGGCCCTACCATGGAAACCGTAGAGAATGGGATTATTGTATAGATCAAGATTAATATAACTGCGACCAGGACTTTTTCCAGAACATGTAACCTGAACTGGAAAAACTCTAGTTGTACCCTAGTTGTACCTTACAGTGCATTCGGAAAGTATTCAGACCCCTTGACTTTTTCCACATTTTGTTACGTTACAGCCTTATTCTAAAATTGATTACATTTGTTTTTTCCCTCATCAATCTTCACACAATACTCCATAATGACAAGGCAAAAACACGTTTTTAGAAATTACATAAATATTCAGACCCTTTACTCAGTACTTTGTTGAAGCACCTTTGGCAGCGATTACAGCCTTGAGTCTTCTTGAGTATGACGCTACAAGCTTGGCACACCTGTATTGGGGAGTTTCTCCCATTCTTCTCTGCAGATCCTATCAAGCTCTGTCAGGTTGGATGGGGAGCGTCGCTGCACTGTTATTTTCAGGTCTCTCCAGAGATGTTCGATTGGGTTCAAGTCCGGGCTCTGTCTGGGCCACTCAAGGACATTCAGAGACTTGTCCCGAAGCCACTCCTGCGTTGTCTTGGCTGCGCGCTTAGGGTCGTTGTCCCGTTGGAAGGTGAACCTTCGCCCTAGTCTGAGGTCCTGAGCGCTCTGGAGCAGGTTTTCATCAAGGATCTCTCTGTACTTTGTTCTGTTCATCTTTCCCTCGATCCTGACTAGTCCCCCTGCCGCTGAAAAACATCCACACAGCATGATGCTGCCACCACTATGCTTCACCGTAGGGATGGTGCCAGGTTTCCTCCAGACGTGACCCTTGGCATTCAGGCCAAAGAGTTCAATCTTGGTTTCATCAGACCAGAGAATCTGATTTCTCATGGTCAGAGTCCTTTAGGTGTCTTTTGTCAAACTCCAAGCGCGCTGTCATGTGCCTTTTACTGAGGAATGGCTTCCGTCTGGCCACGGAAGCCACTCTTACCATAAAGGCCTGATTGGTGGAGTGCTGCAGAGATGGTTGTCCTTCTGGAAGGTTCTCCCATCTCCACAGAGGAACTCTGGAGCTCTGTCAGAGTGACCATCGGGTTCTTGGTCACCTCCCTGACCAAGGCCCTTCTCACCGAATGCTCAGTTTGGCCGGGCGGCCAGCTCTAGGAAGAGTCTTGGTGTTTCCAAACTTCTTCCATTTAAGAATGATGGAGGCCACTGTGTTCTTGGGGATCTTCAATGCTGCAGACATTTTTTGGTACCCTTCCCCAGATCTGTGCCTCGACACAATCCTGTCTCGGAGCCCTTCGGACAATTCCTTCGACCTCATTTACGTATGTAAATAAGGTATTTCTGTTTTTTATTTGTAATAAATTTGCAAAGATTTCAGAAAATCAGTTTTCGCTTTGTCATTATGGGGTATTGTGTGTAGATTGATGAGGAAAATAATTAATTTAATCAATTTTAGAATAAGGCTGTAACGTAACAAAATGTGGAAAAGGTCAAAGGGTCTGAATACTTTCTGAATGCACTGTATAATAGGTCAGCTCACATGGTCAGGTAAAAAACTCCTGGCCCAAATCTTAACATAGTCTTCTAATTTCATAATTTCGAGTACTACATCCGAGAAAGACCCTATCAGTAGTGAGCCTCTACTACTCACAGTGACGATGATGATGGAGGTCTCGGTGATTAACTTCTTGGTGAGGGGGTTGAAGACAGGGTTGGGGTGGTAGTCAAAGGGCTTGAGCTCCCTCACCCAGTTGTCCAGCTGGATGAAGGTCCTGAACACCTGGGTCTCATAGGACCTGTTGACGGCAGGGGACAGGAACTGGAGAACCGTGTCGTTCTTACTCAGAGCCTCCTGGAGGTACTAGGAGAGGAGGAGAGGTGAGACACACATAATTAAATAGATGTGGCATGTGCTTGTTTTGTTAATCAGTAACTTGATGTATCTTTAGGGTGAGACCACACTGAATAGCATACTGTTACTGTATAAATACAGAGGTGAGATTCAACATAATGGTGTTGTTCTTGTTTTTTCCTAACATTTGTGGCACTATGTGAAAACAAGACAGTATGGGATTCTTTCCAACTGAATTGCCATTCCCCATCAAAGGTATACATTTCTGGATGTCTGATTTCATCTATACTCTTTAACCATCATACTATGCTCATTCCAAGACACATACATTTTAGAACCACTATAGGCCTACATTAAGCAGTAAGGTCAGAGGAAGTGTGGTATATGGCTAATATACCACGGCTAAGGGCTATTCTTACGTACGACGCAACGCGGAGTGCTTGGATACAGCCCTTAGTCGTGGTATATTGGCCATATATCACAAACCCCCGAGGTGCCTTATTGCTATTATAAACTGGTTACCAACGTAATTAGAACAGTAAAAATAAATGTTTTGTAATACCCGTGGTATACGGTCTGATATACCACGGCTGTCAGCCAATGAGCATTCAAGGCTCGAACCACCCAGTTTATAATAAATGTTTAGTTTGTATTTGTATTGACTAAGGATCCCCATTAGCTGCTGTCCTGGGGTCCAGCAACATTAAGGCAGTTATATACAGTTCAGAATGGACAGAATATACAGAATATTACCACGGAAAGATGCTGATTTCAACCACACAAGGTCTTTAATAAGTAAACTTTATCAGTCACCAGTTTGTGAGGCCCCAAGTTCCCCTAAGTCCCCGGCCCCAAGTCCCTGCCACCCAGGGAGAGAGAGAGGAGCAGAACAGAGCAGAGCTGCCTACACGTAATCTGCTGGAACCTTAATTCCTCTATTAAATTTAGCCTCTAAATGAAATGCATCAAATCGCTGCTTATTCCGCCCAAGGCATCAGGGAGCAGGAGTCTGCATCTGCGAAGCCCCTACAGCAGCTCGGGGTGGATTGTGTGACATTAAGTCAAACTCTCTTGATTATTTCTGGATGAATCAGAGCTTTTTTGATGCAATCTTCCAGGTTTAAGGAATTATGGTCTATAATGAAGCTGCCTGAATGAGGCCGTAATGCAGGCCTATGGCATCTTTCTTCCTGATCACTGAAAGTTAGTTTATGAGGAGCAATTTAACAGTCCATATGTGGTTGAGATAGAGGGGTGGTTTAGGATTTTAGGTTTAGGGCTGAGCTGGAGTGACTGTGGTTTGATTGACAGATAAACTGATACACTGCCAGTGGTGGAGAGAGAGAGAGAGAGAGAGAGAGAGAGAGAGAGAAAGAGAAAGAGAGAGAGAGAGAGAGAGAGAGGGGGGGGGGGAGGCAGAGAACGAGAAAGAGAGAGAGATTAATCCATGCCTCAGTAGGACTCATGCCGGACCACTCTTCTGCCAAGGCCTGGACCCTCATGATGGCATTCTGGATGAGGTCAAACCCAGATCCTGTCACCACGATGGTCCTCCCACCACTGAAACAACATCACCATAACAAAGGGACAAAAGGAATGATTTTAACCCACAGAGGGGCTCACATTCACATTTCATTGATGCTACAAACTGTTGTCATGGAGAGGGAGCCAGGTGTGTTGGAAATTGAATGCCATTAAACTACACTAGGGAAGCTTTCATTGTCTTACGACAGGTGGCATCATTCTAACGCATCTCGTCTCAGTGCAGATGGAGTTGTGAGACAATGTAGACAACGCCTCTAGAATAGCTTCTTGTCTCTAGAGGTCTGATACTCACCACACAAAGCTTCCCTTGGGGTGGTGGTCCAGGATGGTGGGGTTCTCCCAGAACTGGAAGGCTGTGGGGACGGCCGTGGTGGTACTCTTCCCATACTTTACCGTGACCATGAGCAGGTCAGAGGGGACCTTGTCTGCCCGGTACTCTCCCATCCTGCAGATGATGTCCGCACCAAATGTCACCCTGCAGACAAGGACACAGCCAGGGACACAGTCAGCCAGGGACACAGACCACTCAGAACTAGGGGTCAACCGGGATCATGGTGCACAGGAGACTAACATGGCAGAACCATGACAGCTAGGTAATTACCGGGCTTTCTTATTAAATAAAATCATGGCCAAATGTTCAATTAATGTCTTGATTTTCAATGCATCAACCCTGCTTGCTAGATCTGTACACACTTAAGCTTACAACACGTTTCCTGTTGCACGTTATCATGCTAAAGAGTTGGCTGAACGTGAACACATCCAGATGACCAGTGACCAGACCACCGCAACCTTGCCCAATACTAGTTCCTTTCCCAGGATGCAGCAGTACTTACACAGTGCACACCACCCCGCCGACGGTGACGGTGATGTCCTCCCTGGTGGCTGTGTCCAGGTTGGAGCCAGAGATGGTGATGACAGTGCCCCCGGCCTTGGAGCCCTTGTCGGGGTGAACCGAGCGGGCTATGGGGTCCTGGAGGACCATGTAAGAAAACACGCTCTGTCATCCTATTCATGTCTCATTTCTTCTCCCACAAGGCTTTCAAAACGCACACCCGCCCACCCGCCCACCCACCCACCCACACGCATTTCCTTCAATTTGCTGAGTAAACAGTTAGGCGGAGCGGTCCCCTGTGGGGAAGCTTTAGCCGTGTGAGATAAAGAAAGACAGTCAAATTGCTTCAGCGTACCCTGTTAAGGCACCAGAGGAAATAGAAGCGTCGTATCACACCTTCTAATATAATACACAAAACGCAATTTCATCTTATCGCACTGGGCATTACCTGCCAGTGTAATGTGGCAGTACCAGAGTAGCTTATTCAACAGAATATTATTACACTTAAATGACATGCCCTTCATGCGTACTGATAAAAGGCTCTTTAATACAGCGTCTGTATAGCTGGGAAATTGAAAATAAAACAATGGTGATAACATAACCAAATCAGGTAAACACTTCATGAGTCCATCCTCCCATCCTGAAGTGAAGGAGTGTGGTAGGTTAGCTACCCGGTATGTGAAGAAAGCGGAGGACGTTCCTCTCTTCCCTCCCTCCAACTCCACCTCCACCTGCCCCCAGTTGGTGCTCAGCAGGTCCAAGGGGCCGATCTCACACACCACACTGGAAACCAGAGAGGATGGAAGAGATTTTAGAGTGCTCGTGTACATTTGGGTAGGTCATCTCCATTTACAGAGGCCACCTCCATTTAGGGTTGTTTCAGGACAGCAACTGCACAGTACATTCCAGAATACACAACATTTTACAGTACAACCCCTTCAGTTCTCCATCAACACACTCGGAGAAAGGGTGACTGTGGGTGTGTCCTATGGGCCGCTGGTCAAAAGTAGTGCACTATAAAGGGAATAGGGTGTCATTCTGTGTATTACCTGGTGGAGACAGTGTATTTTTCCTCCTGGTGTATACAGGACACCCCCACCACACTGATGGCCTTGATGTCCTCCTTGTGGATGCCCAGGTTGGAGCCCTTGATGGTGACAGAGATGCCCCCCTTCATGGGCCCATAGCGAGGGATGATCTGGGAGGGGGAATTGGGGAACAGATCTAAGATTACAGGCTTTTAGATTACTATACATTTCCCTACCACTTTTAGATTAAAGTGTACACAGTAGTTTATAGAGTAGCACCATGAAATAAGACACAAAGACATGCAGAACGTGACCCCACAGTCTGTGAAAGACTGTGTTCAGGACTGTAGCCCAGTCTTTAGAATTGACAATTGATCAGAGGTGCCTCTTTTGTGTGTGGGCATTCAATAGCAAATGAACAGACTATGAACTGATCTCATCGTCAGTAGCTACCGGGAGATAAAATAGACCAATCAATGAAGAGAACATCAAAATATCTAGTAAGTCAGTGATAATCAACAGTCGATAATGTTGCAGGTTCAAAGATAGGTTATTAGTATAGAGTTAAGAGATGACTACTGTACTGTGGGTGCTACTCACGTCAGTGATCTGTGGGTCAGGGCACTCTGTGTCCTGTAGGTCCTCTGTGGCCTGGTCAATACACAGCTTTTGATAGACGCACGACTTCCTCTTGGCACACCACACACAACTGTACTTAGGATCAGCGTTCTTACACAGGCTGCAATCCTCCCGGCCCAATGAGCAGTTATATAGGGTCACTGTGAAGGAAGAGGAGAGGGATGCCTTAGAATACTATGGCTATTCTGTCATTTCATTTACATGCCACTGGGCCATCAGTAGTACAATAATGGTTTTGGACCAATTCACTTAGATGATGGCAAAGAGTATGTCAGTAAATGTATCAGTGTATTAATGTATCACTTTACCAAATAAGGCTTCCCCAATTGTCATTTTATGTCCACATGATCCTTTGGGATGTTGTCAACAGGGCTGCATATTCGGATGTACCACTTACCATTCAGCGTGCTGTCTATCTTCTTGCCCGTCTCTTTGTCCTTCACGTAGAACAGAACGTTGGTCTCCTGTGACTTATCGAAGGAAAACTAGAAACGGCAACCCGACTAATTATTAATACAGCGATTAATGACACTTCACATTTCCAAATCGTGCCTGAGAAAAGATCTCTTCATAACTTACACACTTTGGCAACCATTCAGAAACATCAGAAGAAATCAATGTCTGAAAATAACTATCTGTACTGTTTCTAATAAGTTTTCCAATCACAGAAAATGCAGTTTGAGGATGTAGAAATAACATTGGGTTTTTTGTCCATGAGGGGGTGCTATAATATCAAACTGACTGACACAAACCAGGTGAAGTGACCATACAATACAATATCATGACCAAGCAACACCTTATGAACCCTTCACCTCTTTTAGATGGAGTGAAGTGAAAGCTACTATTGATAGGTGTGGATCAATAAGCATTATTGACGTACATTAAAACCTTTGAAACTGTAGAAGGGCCCGTCTTCAGACCTGACGTCCTCCTTCATGTTCCCCATCAGCTCTGTGCCGATGGTGAACGCCCGGTCCTTCAGAGGAGCAGATGGGTTAGCTTTATACAGGCTCAGTAATCAAGGGTTCAACTCAATGTTACTATAGTCTGATTCATCACTAACTAGTGCCTACTGTTCTTTTAACTTTCATAGATTCTAAGAGTGTCTAATTGTAAACCTAACAGCAGTAAACATATATAACAGTTACAGTGAGGGAAAAAAGTATTTGATCCCCTGCTGATTTTGTACGTTTGCCCACTGACAAAGACATGATCATTCTATAATTTTAATGGTAGGTTTATTTGAACAGTGAGAGACAGAATAACAACAAAAGAAATCCAGAAAAACGCATGTCAAAAATGTTATAAATTGATTTAGCATTTTAATGAGGGAAATAAGTATTTGACCCCTCTGCAAAACATGACTTAGTACTTGGTGGCAAAACCCTTGTTGGCAATTACAGAGGTCAGACGTTTCTTATAGTTGGCCACCAGGTTTGCACACATCTCAGGAGGGATTTTGTTCCACTCCTCTTTGCAGATCTTCTCCAAGTCATTAAGGTTTCGAGGCTGACGTTTGGCAACTAGAACCTTCAGCTCCCTCCACAGATTTTATATGGGATTAAGGTCTGGAGACTGGCTAGGCCACTCCAGGACCTTAATGTGCTTCTTCTTGAGCCACTCCTTTGTTGCCTTGGCCATGTGTTTTGGGTCATTGTCATGCTGGAATACCCATCCACGACCCATTTTCAATGCCCTGGCTGAGGGAAGGAGGTTCTCACCCAAGATTTGACGGTACATGGCCCCGTCCATCATCTCTTTGATGCGGTGAAGTTGTCCTGTTCCCTTAGCAGAAAAACACCCCCAAAGCATAATGTTTCCACCTCCATGTTTGACGGTGGGGATGGTGTTCTTGGGGTCATAGGCAGCATTCCTCCTCCTCCAAACACGGCAAGTTGAGTTGATGCCAAAGAGCTCCATTTTGGTCTCATCTGACCACAACACTTTCACCCAGTTCTCCTCTGACTCATTCAGATGTTCATTGGCAAACTTCAGACGGGCCTGTATATGTGCTTTTTTGAGCAGGGGGACCTTGCGGGCGCTGCAGGATTTCAGTCCTTCACGGCGTATTGTGTGAGCAATTGTTTTCTTGGTGACTATGGTCCCAGCTGCCTTGAGATCATTGACAAGATCCTCCCGTGTAGTTCTGGGCTGATTCCTCACCGTTCTCATGATCATTGCAACTCCACGAGTTGTGATCTTGTATGAAGCCCCAGGCCGAGGGAAATTGACAGTTATTTTGTGTTTCTTCCATTTGCGAATAATCGCACCAACTGTTGTCACCTTCTCACCAAGCTGCTTGGCGATAGTCTTGTAGCCAATTCCAGCCTTGTGTAGGTCTACAATCTTGTCTCTGACATCCTTGGAGAGCTCTTTGGTCTTGGCCATGGTGGAGAGTTTGGAATCTGATTGATTGATTGCTTCTGTGGACAGGTGTCTTTTATACAGGTAACACACTGAGATTAGGAGCACTCCCTTTAAGAGTGTGCTCCTAATCTCAGCTCGTTACCTGTATAAAAGACACCTGGGAGCCAGAAATCTTTCTGATTGAGAGGGGGTCAAATACTTATTTCCCTCATTAAAATGCTAATCAATTTATAACATTTTTGACATGCGTTTTTCTGGATTTCTTTTGTTGTTATTCTGTCTCTCACTGTTCAAATAAACCTACCATTAAAATTATAGACGGATCATTTCTTTGTCAGTGGGCAAACGTACAAAATCAGCAGGGGATCAAATACTTTTTTCCCTCACTGTATATAAAACATTAAAATGTTTTCATTTACCTGGTACACATCCAGATTGATGCCCTCGAAGCTGATGGTGGTTTTGAACCCAACAGGAATGAGCACAGGGTCAGGGTTCTCAAACTGGGGACACCTTGCTCCCTAAACAGAGATGAAAATGAAATGTACATTTTTGTACTTCGAAAATTCAGCAGACAAACTCTCATCCAGAATGATCATTTGTCAGTTCTCTTAAGCATCTGCTGACATGCAAATTGATATTCCATACAAAAGCTTATGACTCCAACAAATCTTAATGTATATTAACACATTTAATGGAGCACATACCTGTCTGTGTTTGATGATTTGAGGGCCCAACACAGTGTCATCCATGTCCTGGCAGGTGTGGTCCTGGGTGTTCCACTGGCAGCCCCATGGACTGGCCACACACGACATACACCTAAGACACACGTCCAAAGCAGGGAGGCACTCTCATTTAAAAACATGTAAACCTGTGATAGTATTCCTATAACAGTACCCATGTTGTTGATGGTAAATATATCTCTTTAACTTCCGATAAACAAAGCTCATTTATCACATGCTTCCTCCGGATGAAAAAACAACGCAGGAAGCAGCGAGAGAAAAAAAACATATACGTCGGAGATGGACTTTCATTTTTTGATTAATGAAAAGGAAACTGAAGTAATTTCCTCCGGTTGGTAATAAAAAAGGGTCAAAATGCAAGAGGTGCATTCAATTGCAGTCATGAATCACAATTTACTAATAGAAAACCTTCTCTCATTTGTTCACATGCTGCTATTCATTTCCATCAAGGTTGTAGGCACAGTGAGCAGTTCAGAGAGTTAACTCACGGTGTGTTTTCTGCTTTCCTCACAGTGGCTGAACAATTGTAGAACTTGAACTCTCTGGTTGCCAGCTCCACCGACTCGTTCACAAAGATCTTAATGGGCACCGACACGAAATCTACGGGCAGAGAGGAACAGCGCAAATGAGTGTCCTTGTGATTGGTGAAGATACAGGTTGCAGTGAAATCCACATAACATACAGAGCTCAGTAAGATATACAGTGGGGAGAACAAGTATTTGATACACTGCCGATTTTGCAGGTTTTCCTACTTACAAAGCATGTAGAGGTCTGTCATTTTTATCATAGGTACACTTCAACTGTGAGAGACGGAATCTAAAACAAAAATCCAGAAAATCACATTGGATGATTTTTAAGTAATTAATTTGCATTTTATTGAATGACATAAGTATTTGATACATCAGAAAAGCAGAACTTAATATTTGGTACAGAAACCTTTGTTTGGATCAGCCCAGAACTACACGGCAGGACCTGGTCAATGACCTGAAGAGAGCTGGGACCACAGTCTCAAAGAAAACCATTAGTAACACACTACGCCGTCATGGATTAAAATCCTGCAGTGCACGCAAGGTCCCCCTGCTTAAGCCAGCGCATGTCCAGGCCCATCTGAAGTTTGCCAATGACCATCTGGATGATCCAGAGGAGGAATGGGAGAAGGTGATGTGGTCTGATGAGACAAAAATAGAGCTTTTTGGTCTAAACTCCACTCGTCGTGTTTGGAGGAAGAAGAAGGATGAGTACCCCAAGAACACCATCCCAACCGTGAAGCATGGAGGTGGAAACATAATTCTTTGGGGATCCTTTTCTGCAAAGGGGACAGGACGACTGCACCGTATTGAGGGGAGGATGGATGGGGCCATGTATCGTGAGATCTTGGCCAATAACCTCCTTCCCTCAGTAAGATGGGTCGTGGCTGGGTCTTCCAGCATGACAACGACCCGAAACACACAGTCAGGGCAACTAAGGAGTGGCTCCGTAAGAATCATCTCAAGGTCCTGGAGTGGCCTAGCCAGTCTCCAGACCTGAACCCAATAGAAAATCTTTGGAGGGAGCTGAAAGTCCGTATTGCCCAGCGACAGCCCCGAAACCTGAAGGATCTGGAGAAGGTCTGTATGGAGGAGTGGGCCAAAATCCCTGCTGCAGTGTGTGCAAGCTAGTCAAGACCTACAGGAAACGTATGATCTCTGTAATTGCAAACAAAGGTTTCTGTACCAAATATTAAGTTCTGCTTTTCTGATGTATCAAATACTTATGTCATTCAATAAAATGCAAATTAATTACTTAAAAATCATACAATGTGATTTTCTGGATTTTTGTTTTAGATTCCGTCTCTCACTGTTGAAGTGTACCTATGATAAAAATTACAGACCTCTACATGCTTTGTAAGTAGGAAAACCTGCAAAATCGGCAGTGTATCAAATACTTGTTCTCCCCACTGTAGCTATATAGGACCAGGAGTCTTTCCTGACTACATGACCTGACAAGGAAATACTCTGGTCCCTAGGTAGATACAGCCTACAAAAAGGAGAACCCTTTTTGGTTCCAGGTAGAACCCTTTTGGGTTCGATGTAGAACCCTCTGTGGAAAGGGTTCTAAATGGAATCCAAAAGGGTTCTACCTGGAACCAAAAGGGTTCTACCTGGAACCAAAAGGGCTCTACCTGGAACCAAAAAGGATTCTTCAAAGGGTTGTCCTATGGGGACAGACGAAGAAACCTTTTAGGTTCTAGATAGCTCCTTTTTTTCTAGGAAGAACTCCTGACCCATACTACAGTGACAGTGGAGGCTGAGTGTCATGTCCTACCCTGGTGTTCAGTTGTGGATGGTAAAGAGACAGGGTTGGGCAGGGCACAGGTGACCTGGCCAGAGGACATGGTGGCGTCACTCATATAGGAGGGGAACACACAGCGCAGACGGTCTGCCTGCCCGATGGAGGGGAGGGAGGGCACGTTGATCTCCACCTGAGAGAGAGAAAGACAGAGTACATAAGATAAGGGGGGAGAGAGAGAGAGAGAGAGAGAGAGAGACCAAGGAGGGCCTACAGCAGCACGTAGATCTTCTGCAAATATTCTGTCAGACCTGGGCCTTAACAGTAAATCTCAGTAAGACAAAAATAATGGTGTTCCAAAAAAGGTCCACAAATACAAATTCCATCTAAAAAAAATTGTAAATGTAAATCTAGACACCGTTGCCCTAGAGCACACAAAAAACTTTACATACAGTGGCTTGCGAAAGTATTCAACCCCCTTGGCATTTTTCCTATTTTGTTGCCTTACAACCTGGAATTAAAATGGATTTTTAGGGGGTTTGAATCATTTGATTTACACAACATGCCTACCACTTTGAAGATGCAAAATATGTTTTATTGCGAAACAAACAAGAAATAAGACAAAAAAACAGAAAACTTGAGCGTGCATAACTATTCACCCCCCCAAACTCAATACTTTGTAGAGCCACCTTTTGCAGCAATTACAGCTGCAAGTCTCTTGGGGTATGTCTCTATAAGCTTGGCACATCTAGCCTGTGGGGATGGTGTTCTCGGGGTGATGAGAGGTGTTGGGTTTGCGCCAGACATAGCGTTTTCCTTGATGGCCAAAAGGCTCAATTTTAGTCTCATCTGACCAGAGTACCATCTTCCATATGTTTGGGGAGTCTCCCACATGCCTTTTGGCAGGTTTGTTGTGGTGCCATATTCTTTCCATTTTTTAATAATGGATTTAATGGTGCTCCGTGGGATGTTAAATGTTTCAGATATTTTTTTATAACCCAACCCTGATCTGTACTTCTCCACAACTTTGTCCCTGACCTGTTTGGAGAGCTCCTTGGTCTTCATGGTGCCGCTTGCTTGGTGGTGCCCTTTCATAGAGGTGTTGCAGACTCTGGGCCTTTCAGAACAGGTTTACAGTGGGGGGAAAAGTATTTAGTCAGCCACCAATTGTGCAAGTTCTCCCACTTAAAAAGATGAGAGAGGCCTGTAATTTTCATCATAGGTACACGTCGACTATGACAGACAAACTGAGAAAAAAAAATCCAGAAAATCACATTGTAGGATTTTTAATGAATTTATTTGCAAATTATGGTGGAAAATAAGTATTTGGTCAATAACAAAAGTTTCTCAATACTTTGTTATATACCCTTTGTTGGCAATGACACAGGTCAAACGTTTTCTGTAAGTCTTCACAAGGTTTTCACACACTGTTGCTGGTATTTTGACCCATTCCTCCATGCAGATCTCCTCTAGAGCAGTGATGTTTTGGGGCTGTCGCTGGGCAACACGGACTTTCAACTCCCTCCAAAGATTTTCTATGGGGTTGAGATCTGGAGACTGGCTAGGCCACTCCAGGACCTTGAAATGCTTCTTACGAAGCCACTCCTTCGTTGCCCGGGCGGTGTGTTTGGGATCATTGTCATGCTGAAAGACCCAGCCACGTTTCATCTTCAATGCCCTTGCTGATGGAAGGAGGTTTTCACTCAAAATCTCACGATACATGGCCCCATTCATTCTTTCCTTTACACGGATCAGTCGTCCTGGTCCCTTTGCAGAAAAACAGCCCCAAAGCATGATGTTTCCACCCCCATGCTTCACAGTAGTTATGGTGTTCTTTGGATGCAACTCAGCATTCTTTGTCCTACAAACACGACGAGTTGAGTTTTTACCAAAAAGTTCTATTTTGGTTTCATCTGACCATATGACATTCTCCCAATCCTCTTCTGGATCATCCAAATGCACTCTAGCAAACTTCAGACGGGCCTGGACATGTACTGGCTTAAGCAGGGGGACACATCTGGCACTGCAGGATTTGAGTCCCTGGCGGCGTAGTGTGTTACTGATGGTAGGCTTTGTTACTTTGGTCCCAGCTCTCTGCAGGTCATTCACTAGGTCCCCCCGTGTGGTTCTGGGATTTTTGCTCACCGTTCTTGTGATCATTTTGACCCCACGGGGTGAGATCTTGCGTGGAGCCCCAGATCGAGGGAGATTATCAGTGGTCTTGTATGTCTTCCATTTCCTAATAATTGCTCCCACAGTTGATTTCTTCAAACCAGTCTTCCCAGCCTGGTGCAGGTCTACAATTTTGTTTCTGGTGTCCTTTGACAGCTATTTGGTCTTGGCCATAGTGGAGTTTGGAGTGTGACTGTTTGAGGTTGTGGACAGGTGTCTTTTATACTGATAACAAGTTCAAACAGGTGCCATTAATACAGGTAACGAGTGGAGGAGCCTCGTAAAGAAGAAGTTACAGGTCTGTGAGAGCCAGAAATCTTGCTTGTTTGTAGGTGACCAAATACTTATTTTCCACCATAATTTGCAAATAAATTCATTAAAAATCCTACAGTGATTTTCTGGAGAAAAAACATTCTCAATTTGTCTGTCATAGTTGATGTGTACCTATGATGAAAATTACAGGCCTCTCTCATCTTTTTAAGTGGGAGAACTTGCACAATTGGTGGCTGCCTAAATACTTTTTTCCCCCACTGTATATATACTGAGATCATGTGACAGATCATGTGACACTTAGATTGCACACAGGTGGACTTTATTTAACTAATTATGTGACTTCTGAAGGTAATTGGTTGCACCAGATCTTATTTAGGGGCTTCATAGCAAAGAGGGTGAATACATATGCACGCACCACTTTTCCGTTATTAATTTCTTAGAATTTTTTGAAACAAGTTATTTTTTTCATTTCACTTCACCAATTTGGACTATTTTGTGTATGTCCATCACATGAAATCCAAATAAAAATCAATTTAAATTACAGGTTGTAATGCAACAAAATAGGAAAAACGCCAAGGGGATGAATACTTTTGCAAGGCACTGTACCTCGGCATAAACATCAGCGCCACAGGTAACTTCCACAAAGCTGTGAACAATCTGAGAGACAAGGCATGAAGGGCCTTCTATGCCATCAAAAGGAACATAAAATTTGATATACCAATTAGGATCTGGCTAAAAATACTTGAATCAGTTATAGAACCCCATTGCCCTTTATGGTTGTGAGGTCTAGGGTCCGTTCACCAACCAAGAATTTACAAAATGGGACAAACACCAAATTGAAACTGCATGCAGAATTCTGCAAAAATATCCTCTGTATACAACGAAAAACACAAAATACTGCATGCAGACCAGAATTAGGCCGATACCCGCTAATTATCCAAATCCAGAAAAGAGCCGTTAAATTCTATAACCACTTAAAAGGAAGCGATTCCCAAACCTTCCATAACAAAGCCATCACCTACAGAGAGATGAACTTGGAGAAGAGTCCCCTAAGCAAGCTGGTCCTGGGGCTCTGTTCACAAACACAAACAGACTCCACAGAGCCCCAGGACAACAACACAATTAGACCCAACCAAATCATGAGAAAACTAAAAGATAATTACTTGACACATTGGAACAGAGAGTACACAGTGGCAGAATACCTGACCACTGTGACTGACCCAAACTTAAGGAAAGCTTTGACTATGTACAGACTCAGTGAGCATAGCCTTGCTATTGAGAAAGGCCACCGTAGGCAGACCTGGCTCTCAAGAAAAGACAGGCTATGTGCACACTGCCCACAAAATGAGGTGGAAACTGAGCTGCACTTCCTAACCTCCTGCCAAATGTATGACCATATTAGAGACACATATTTCCCTCAGATTACACAGATCCACAAAGAATTCGAAAAAACAAACCCAATTTTGATAAACTCCCTTATCTACTGGGTGAAATACCACAGTGTGCCATCACAGCAGCAAGATGTGTGACCTGTTGCCACAAGAAAAGGGCAACCAGTGAAGAACAAACACCATTGTAAATACAACCCATATTTATGTTTATTTATTTTCCCATTTGTACTTTAACTATTTGCACATTGTTACAACACTGTATATATACATAATATGACATTTGAAATGTCTTTATTCTTTTGGAACATCTGAGTGTAATGTTTACTGTTAATTTCGATTGTTTATTTCACTTTTGTTTACCATCTACTTCACTTGCTTTGGCAATGTTAACATACATTTCCCATGCCAATAAAGCCCTTAAATTGAAATTGAAATTGAATTGAAAGAGAGAGAGTGAGAGAGAGAGAAATAAAGAAAGGGGGAGAGAGAGAAAGGAAGGAAGAAAAACAGAGAACAAGAGAGAGAGAAGGAGAGAATGAGAGAGAAACAGAGAGAGAGAGAAGGAGAGAATGAGAGAGAAACAGAGAGAGAGAAGGAGAGAATGAGAGAGAAACAGAGAGAGAGAAGGAGAGAATGAGAGAGAAACAGAGAGAGAGAGGGTAGAGAGCAGAGTCAGAGGAGGTGCTTTGAGCGCTAGCACATTTCTCAGTTTTAATAAGCCAATTTTCAGTTTTCTGAGCCGGATCAATAGAGTGTAGATTGTTTCAGAGTAGAGGGTTGCTGATTCCAAATGGAAACATTTCTTATGACTTCTTATCTAGGCAAGACTGCCAGTGCAAGGCCCAGTACAGTAAACTACCTGCTGGGTCTTTTTGCAGCTGAGGTTGGGTGGGTGGAAGGACACGATCTTCACACACTGCTGCCTGGGGCTCCACAGCCAGCCGTTCTTCTCCTCTGCTCGCCGGCAGTAAGACCTCCTGGTACACCTGGAACACCAACACCCATCAGCCACTGCTCTCTGTCCAGTTTGTCCGCTGGTCACACATTACTTCCTGTCTCACAGTGACCTCTGACCCTGAATAGCAGCCATTTCCTGTCATTAAATGACCTCTTGTCTGAGTGTTATCAGCTACCGTACCGATATACAGAATCACTTATACAGTGCAGCTCTCCTTATATGGCCCTAACAAAAAGACTGCTCTCGGTGCCACATAAATAGGGAAGTAGTGCAGAAACACAATGGGGGGGGGGAGTTCTGGGACTGTCAGCCATAAAACACTAGAGCAAATACACAGCTACACTCCACTGATGGAGTCAGGCCCTATCTAGGGCTGTTTAGAGGGACACGGGAGAGAGAGATATGCTTACCTGGTTCTCTGCATTAAATGATTAGGAGCATACAGAGTGTGCGACTTTCTTTCTTCTTTCTTACCTGCCCTCCAGAACACACCAGCCACAGTAGGGGTCTCGTAGGGACACACAGGACTGGCAGTCTGTTTTCAGATGGCACGCCTGCACTGGCACCTTGGTGATCTATAGCAGTAATACACAGACACAGCCCACAACATAAACAGCATTACAGAGGAACCTCAGAGATACAAACATGTCAGGACGGGAGGTCTATCGGAACACTGAAATGTCTGTAACGTTGAAATTCACTTTTAAACTGGCACCTTGGTGATCTATAGTATCGCACTGTCAACAACACAAACAATAACAGCATGAATTCCTCCAGCTGTGATAAACACACAGGGCCTGTCCCTTTCTCTCTACAGCAATAACAACAACACTGACAAACAGCGGAACTGTCGGGAGGTCTGTAGAGAACGGTATGGAGGTCTGTAGAGAACGGTATTGGAGGACTGTACAGAATGGTAATGGAGGACTGTACAGAACTGTCTGGAGGTCTGTAGAGAACAGTAATGGAGGTCTGTACAGAACGATAATGGAGGACTGTACAGAACGGTATTGGAGGACTGTACAGAACGGTAATGGAGGACTATCCAGAACGATAATGGAGGACTGTACAGAACGGTATTGGAGGACTGTACAGAACGGTAATGGAGGACTATCCAGAACGGTAATGGGGGACTATACAGAACGGTTATGGAGGACTGTACAGAACGGTAATTGGGGACTGTACAGAACGGTAATGGAGGACTGTACAGAACGGTAATGGAGGACTGTCCAGAACTGTAATGGAGGTCTGTACAGAACGGTAATGGAAGACTGTACAGAACGGTAATGGAGGACTGTACCTTTTTCTCGGTGGTGATATACAGGTGGCTGTGGCTGGCGTCAAAGAATAGGTTTTTGTTGACTCGTTCCCCTGTGGTGTCCCCTGGTCCTCTGCTGTACACCTCTGGGTTGGCGGTCAGATGCACCTGCCAGGCAGAAACACACGCTAGGCTCCTTCGCAACACATGCTAGGCTCCTTCGCAACACATGCTAGGCTCCTTCAATGGGGCACAGCACAAACAACAAAATAATCTGTCCACCAGCAACCTCCCCTAGCCCCACATCTTGTAGACCTCCCCGAAACCCCCTCTTCCACACCACACGTCCTGTTCCGTAGCGTCCTTTCCTTACCTTGTACACCTCTCCCAGGCTGTTCCCCAGGAAGGCGATAGTGTGGTCGTTCTCCACAGCGATGGCCACAGCGGTCAGCAGGCCCGTCCTGGTGATGACCTCCTCCGCCTGCAGGGCAAACTCTGGCTTACTGGCCAGCGGAGCGGGAAGGAAGTCCGCCCCACACTTAAAGTTGTTCAGCGTGTCTTTCTGCAGAGGGAAAGAGAAGAGATAGGAGATCTACTAGTTCCATTAAAGGGGCAATCTGCATTTGCTACATCCATTTTTGGACTTATAAATTAATGTATCCATTATGTATCCAAATTAATGTATCCATAATGTATCCAAATTAATGTATCCATCCAATGTATTATATGTATCCATTGCTTCTTGATGAATATAACTTCTAAATGCCTCATAAGCTTAGTTCAACTGTCGTACACCATCAGAACCAAAATATAAGCTTGTTTTACTCCATTGTTTGTAAACATTGCAAATGTAAACAAACAGTGTATAGCCTCAAAACATGGTTAAAACTATAATTTGATATCATGGATGGTCAGTCCTGGCATCCATAGCTCTGTCTAGGAATTTGAGAGTGGTTACATTTATTCAAGCTTTTTTTACCAAAAAAAACACTGTTATAATTTCGACTGCAGACTGGCTTTTTAAACCAATCTTTCAAGGGAAAGAGATGAGAGATATACCCTGCAGGATCCCTTCAGACCAAAAGAAACCCCCTGAAAACAAAGGCCTGAAATCCAACCCAATGTGTCATATCTTTGCATTATTGATTAAAGGGGAAATTCGTTTCAAATCACTGACTCTCTTTCTTCTCTTCTGACGTGTCTTTTGAAGTGGATGATAATGGCTGAGCTACTTACGTTAATGCGGGAGGTGCAGAACTCGTCTGTCTTGGATGAGTAGGGGATGTCCACAGCAGGGATGCCGGCGATCTTGCCCGAGTCGCTGTAACAGGCGCTGATGATGTCCACCAGCCTCTCGTTAATGGCCTTTAGAGGGTACATGCACAGGGCCGAGTCAGTGCTGTCATCATAGGGACTGGCCACCATGAACAGCACCTTGTGCCAGGGGAGGACTTGACCATACTGGCCTGACTCTGTCATCCCCCTGGCCAGCTCTTTACCTGGCGACGCGACATAAGCAGCCTGCACCTTGTTGTACCTGTTCCCCGGGCCACAGTTGAGCTGCAGCTCTGTGTAAGAGTAGTAATGAGGGTCGTCCTCACACAGCCGAGACACAAAGGTGAAGTTCTTGTTGTCGGTGCTTCCCATGGTCCTGGAGAACAGGAAGTAGACAAAGCCCTCCTCTTTGAAGGCGTGGCGGAAGTCGTGCAGGTACTTGGGCACGAAGGGCGTGGCTTGAACGGTGGACGCCTCGATGATGCTCTCGAACACCACCCAGTCACGGTAGTCCTGGAGAATGCGGGTGCTGATGAGTTTGGAGCTGTCCAAGCTGCCGTAGCCCTTCCCCACTAGAAACACATTAAAGGTGTTGCCGTCTTTAACGTATGTAGACATGACGCCCACCACGGCCACCCCGTCCTCAATACTAGCTACGTAGGTCCTCTCTCCCTTAGAGTCGCTGTAGTACAGCTGCTGCTCCACGTTGGTCAGGTTGAGGAGGGAACAGATACCCCGGTAGCGGGAGCCACAGACGATGAGCGAGCCGTTGGCTGGGTGCACCAGCAGCAGCTTGTTGACGTTAGGGGTGGGCTTGGTGTCCTGGCAGGCCGAGACGGGTGGGGTGCAGGTGCGGGCGTCCTCCCTGGGGCCTGTCTCGGTGCGGGCCTCCTCACGCAGCGCCTCGTCCAGCTGGTAGATGGTGTTGACGGCGCCCAGGTAGATGCGGCCACTCCGAGGGTCCTGAACCACGTTGTTGATGGCCGTTTTGGAGGGGAAGTCCAGGACCGCCTCCTCCTTCAGCTGGCCCCCGGCTGCAGACAGGCAAAACAGGAGGAGCAGGGGGAGGAGAGGAGCGGCCTGGACCCAGCTCGCCATCTCTGGATAAGAGAGGAGAGAGAGAGAGGGTAAGGGGTGATACACAATGTCGGTTGAAATGTTGTGATGGTATCATATCACCTAAGGCAGTGGTTCTCGAGTACCTCCAACAGAACATATTTTTGTTGTAGACCCGGACAAACATTCCTGATTCAACTCATTGAGGGCCTGATGATTAAAATCAAATCAATTAAAATTTTATTTTTCACATAAAATGTTTAGCAGATGTTATTGCGGGTGTAGCGAAATGCTTGTGTTTCTAGCTCCGACAGTGCAGTAATATCTAACAAGTAATATCTATCAATTTCACAACATATACTCTATACACACAAATCTAAGTAAGGAATGAATTAAGAATATATACATATATGGACGAACGATGTCAGAGCGTCAGTGAGTCTTCAGTCATGAGTTGGTCATGAGGTTGAGGTTGGGGTTGGGAGGGAAACCCTTGAATGTAATGCATGTAAAAGGACATCTAGAAGCACGTCAGTCTATAAAGCATCCTTGCTCAATGATTCCCATCCTTGTTCCAGTTACTCAAGTTTAAGAAGGATGCTTTGTATTAGGATTTCATTGCATTAATGAGATCGTAAATGTAGTTTGAAACAAAACAATGGCAGTTGACAGAGCTTGGCAGAAATCCACCATGTTCTTTCTCTGCTGTTTTTAGCAAGAGGAAATGCAATACGTGCAGTAAGCAGGTTTCTTTGTTAAAGGGGGGAATATGATCACACAGCATCCTTTGATACACAAAAACAGCCACACACTTGCAAACAGCAGGAGGGAAAGACATCCTCCTCCCTCGCTGCTGATTGCCCACGCTGTGGTTAATGTCGAGCTGCAGGTGGCTGAATCTGCAATGGCCTACCTCTGTGACTATTGTCTCACACACAAATACACACACAAACATACACAGCCACACAGCCACAGACACACAAATACAAACCTATACGCCCACGCACAGTCACACACACAAACATTATCCACCACCTTCACAAACATATGCACGCACACACATGCCCAAACACACACACATACTTGCCCAAACACACACACACACACACACACACACACACACACACACACACACACACACACACACACACACACACACAGAGAGAGATATGGTTCTGCTCATTTCACCTAGGCAGTTAAGTCCATAGCCACACTCGTCAAATTGAAAACCCATGATGAAGCTTCCCGGGAGGGAGGGAGGGAGGGAGGGAGGGAGGCAGCCTGTGCCTGGTTGTGAATCTGTGTTTTATTATGTTAACCTGCCTTCCCTCAGAGTACTAAGTGAGGAGAGGACTGATTAGACATTCGCCCTCAGGGCCCAGTTAATTTAAGCTCCTACCCCCATTTGCATGAAAGTGTCCATCCTCCCCTATTCCCTGATTTTATTTAGCTTTTTTCATTTCACAACCTCATTCCTTTCGGAGCCCCATTTCTCTAGGTCAACTTATCTACCCTTTTTAATTAATACCCTTAAACAATTTCATTACAATTGAAACTGCGTTATAAACACACTCCCTGTGCTTACTCCCATCAGGAGTGTATGGTTAGTCTTCTTTAGAGGATAGCAGGATGGTGTTTGGCTGAAATTCTCCCTGGTCTCTTAACTGACAAACATAGGCTGCATTTACACAGGCAGCCCAATTTGGATCTTTGGAACCAATTATTGGCAAAAAAGCTGATCTGATTGGTCAAAATACCAATTAGTCAAAGAAAGATCAGAATTGGGCTGCTTGTGTAAACACCGCCATAGTAATTCACGGACGTGTTCATGTACTAGGCTAGTATGCACCTACTCTCCGATGAAATTATTAACTTTTTACAGGGTTACTTAGGACCAATGCCAATGGTTACTTTGTTTGGGTTATTCTGCCTTCGTTTAGTCTAGAATAAGAGCCATGACTTCATAAAAGTTTGTTTTAAAACCGCAATTTTTATTGTGACCCTGCCATGACAGTGATAATCACTCATGTCTATAGAAAATAAGATATTCCATTTCCCATCAACTCATATTTTTTACACTACATCCATAATCCGCTGTCAGTCTAGCTATCCAAATTCCTGTTGCAAATCTTTCACAAAAAAATATGGATTTTCAAAATGTCACTGGCTGCTTTCTCTAGCCTAGCATATCATGATTTAGGACCACTGACTGAACAGTGCATTATCAAACAGACTGTTAGAAGCAGCTTTCCCAAACTGAGATGTAGGCTAGGCTACAATAGTTGGTAGAATTGTCAGGAAGCATTCACTTGGGTAACAGGAAACTCAGCTTGACTTACTTCTATCACATCAAAGACTATTTATTTCGCCTATTCATGCAAATCTCTCACTCCCTATAAGAAAAATCTGCTGTTATACAAATTTCCTTCAGATGTTGCATTGTGGGTCACTGCAAAATAAATCCTGCACTCTTTTTCAAAGGAGCTCGTTCTCTCCTAGGATGTCTCCTCTCTATCATTCTTCATATCCTTTTTTCATGGGCTTTAATCCAGAACACTGGAGTTAAGGAGGCTTCAAAGAGCTTCGGAGGAACAGTCAGACTCACTGCCATGTGGTAATGACACAGGTGGAGCCAGCCCCTTTGTCCCTGGGCTGTCCCAGCTTGTCTCTACTCCTCTGAAGAAGTCTCTCTCTCTCTTTCTCTCTCTCTATGCCTCTTTATGGGACATGGCAGCAGGGAACTTCTCTCCTACATAGGCTGGGCCATTCTAATGAAATAAAAAGCTGCTCAAATTAGTGGGTCACTCAGCGCGCTGCGTAAGCCTGCAGCTAATGAAGCCTCCAATGGCCGGGGATAAATAATAATGAAACGAGCGAGGCGCTAACGAAGCAGGCACATCTGGAAAGTGAGACGCTCCCGAGAAAGCCTAGGCCCTGATCGGCTCTCTTCCAGTGCAGGAGCGAGACGACTTACCTAGAGGAGAGAAAATTAACTAGATGCTCCAATCTCTCATCATGTGGTTTCATGGTATAGTTACCGGCTGCCTTGACTTCACAGGCTTGTCTGCAATGTTTGGAAATACTAGTGAAAGGGAAAGGAGAGAGGATGGGACATTTTTCTAGAGGAGCTACTTGTACAGGCCGGAAAAGCAGGACAAAGACTGGGTGTGTCCTGCTGCCTGTTAACTGGATAGCCCCCACGCTTCTGGCTGCCTACCCTCTCTTCTCAACATCTCCACCCTCCCTGCTCTAATACGTCAGGACATGTCTGCACAGGAAAAGCATCTCCCAGAAGAGGAAAATTAAATATTATTGAAAAATGGTAGGAGTGAGCATGCCATGAACGCGAATGAACACATACACACACACAGCTTGAAACGCTGACAGCGTAATCCTTTCCTGACACCCAGAGACATTTCTCCAGACTACCTTTGACACAGGCCACCGCAGCAGAACGGCGGTCCACAGTATCCTACCCATCATCCACTCTGGCACAGACAGAGGACCCCCCACATCCCCTTCTCTAGGATAACATCCCGGCCAGGCCGCATGCAGGAGGAAGTGAGTGTCTGCTGATCACATCTCCACTATGCTGAACAGACAGACATTGGCACCTTATTACATATTTAGTGCACTATGGGTCCTGATCAAAAGTAGTGCACTATATAGGGAGTAGGGTGCGATTTGGGATGCAGACAGTGAGTCACGGACGCTGATCTGATTCAAACCCAGCACGAGTGCTGCTCTCAGACCTAGCACTCATTAAACAGATAGTGAGATATAAATAAATAAATAACAGATCCCCCCCATCGCAAACATAATAGGATATCACCCCATACGGCGGCAGCCCGCATTCGTATTCAGCATTTCTCATATTAGCGCTCCTATCCTCCCTCTTTCTCCGTCCAGCAGATGCCATTCCTGACAGTGACGGGTGACGTCTTTATATTAAAGCCTTTCTTAGTGTCACGTTGCTGATAAAAGTGAGCCACCATTAAATGAGTGGCCCGACGCTGGGGGCCGGGAGCCAGGGGTGAGAGAGGGGTTAACGCTCAATTGCCTATCTGGCCCTGTGTGTCTGTCTGTCTCAGCGTGTGGGTGTTAAAGCGAGTTACAGGCAAAATGACAAAGTGGGTTTAGCGGCGCACAAGGAGCGGCGGCGGCGGAAACAAATGTCTCCGTCAGGTGCGTTACACGGCGCCGAGAGCTCCCTGTTCGCTCTCCAGTCAGTGAGAGGAAAAAGGGAAGCGTATGAGCCTCTCCCCTCCTACCAATCTGAATGAAATTGTTTAAAAAGTGCTTAGGGAAGCTCGTGTGACGACGTAAATCCAATTTCCATATGAACAATTACCCTGCCGTCAGGGTTGGCAGTTCATTTATTTCAATTTGACTGACTGCAATGAGCCGCTGGCCCAGGCAACCAGTCCAGTCATTGTGATCAGGCAGGGCATTAAGCATGCAGCCATTGATGGAACTAGCTTGGTCTATAACACAGAGACCCAGCTGTCCTGGCCTAAGTACCATCCTCCTGAGACCTACCATGACCAGAGTACACTAAAACACACATTGGCCTCACATTAGTGTGTGTGTGTGAATGTGTGTGTCAGGGTTTCCTTTAGCCGTTAATAGCCAGCTTTTGGCTGATAAAAAAACAACAACAGATAAATCAAATTGGCACCGGCCAGTTGTCCGGGAGAATTTAAAAAATCCCATTGCGAAAATGCATTTTAGCCTATTCATCGATTGAAATAGCAGTCGTTGTAGTGCGAGAGCTGCTGCTATAGCTCATCAAACAGCTTGTTCATTGCTGCTGGAGCGAAATGTGCTTTTATAAGCCCAATCATTGCGCAACAATTCTAAATGCAATCGCGTGTTTAAAACTGTTTTGACAGCCACGATTAAAAATAGCTACTATTTTTATTTCTCAACTGGTAATTGAAGCGCGCTCTCCATTCACCATTCAAGTGCATAGGAAACTAGGCAGGCTTCAGCATGTCACACACAATGATGTATGATTACTGATAATCCTGAATGAATCCTGAATAATGATGAGTGAGAAAGTTACAGACGCACAAATATCACACAAATACCCCATGGTAAGAAATGTGACTGTTCCTGGTGCAAAAACAATGTCCTATCCCGGAGCTCGAGTAAATGACATTACTAAACTGCTCCCGAATGTACTACGCCAGGACATGGACATCGATTCTATTGTACTCCATGTGGGTTTTAATGACATTATGAAGGGCAGCTCTGAATAGTTGAAACTGGATTTCAAATAGCTGATTGACTCCCTGCTAGACACAAATAAAAGACCCATCATATCTGGCCCTGTGCCCTCTCTGAATCGTGGCATTGAACGCTTTAGCAGGATTCTTTCTCTTCACAACTGGCTACGTGATTATTGCAGCTCAATGGGTGTATTTACTGGGAAGCTTCTGCTAAGCTTCCCAGTAAATCATCCCAAAAAAGTGCTCAAAATAGCCCATGTTAACATATGCAGCTTTAGAAACAAGGTTCATGAAATTAATAACTTGCTAGTAACAGATGACATTCATATTCTGACTATCTCTGAAACTCACTTGACAATACCTTTGATGATACAGTGGTAGCAATACAAGGTTATAACATTTACAGAAAAGACAGAAATGCCAGTGGTGGAGGTGTTGCTGTTTATATTCAGAACCACAATCCTGTAATGATTAGAAAGGATCTCATGTTAAATACTGTTGAAGTAATATGGCTACAGGTTCATTTGCCTCGCCTAAAGCCCATTCTTGTGGGAAGCTGCTATAGACCACCAAGTGCTAACAGTCAGTCTCTGGATAACGTGTAAAATGCTTGATAATGTATGTGATATCAACAGAGAGTTATATTTTCTGGGCAATTTAAATATTGACTGGCTTTCATCAAGCTGCCCACTCAAGCTTCAAACTGTAACCAGTGCCTGCAACCTGGTTCAGGTTATTAGTCAACCTACCAGGGTAGTTACAAACAGCACAGGAATGAAATCATCAACATGTATTGATCACATCTTTACTAATGCTGCAGAAATGTGCTTGAAAGCAGTATCCAGATCCATTGGATGTAGTGTTCCCAATATAGTAGCCATATCTAGGAAAACCAAAGTTCCAAAGGCTGGGCCTAATATAGTGTATAAGAGGTGTGGGAAAGAAGGGGGCAGAGTGTTAAATGGCAGATATGTGAGGGCAGAACTAATAAACGGGCTCTGCCATCTCACTAAAATGGCCACCCCGACAAGAACTACAGATCACTAAATGTCCGACCGCCAAAAACTACAATCCCTAGAAGCAAGGGGAACGCTCGCAAGGTGGGGCCGACCCACATATAAGGGGTCAAGACAAACCAGGAAGAGGGAGAGAGAGCAAGTGGCTGTGGATCTGTGAAAAATTGTATGGTTGAGAGAGATGAGGCAAAAGGAATGGCAAATAAGTCTGGCTGCACAACCGATTGGCAAACGTACTACAAATTGAGAAATCATGTGACTAAACTGAATAAAAAGAAGAAGAAACTACATTATGAAACAAAGATAAATGACATAAAGAATGATAGTAAAAAGCTTTGGAGCACCTTCAATGACATTTTGGGAAAAAAGGCAAACTCAGCTCCATCATTCATTGAATCAGATGGCTCATTCATCACAAAACCGACTGATATTGCCAACTACTTGAATTATTTTTTAATTGGCAAGATTAGCAAACTTAGGCATGACATGCCAGCAACAAACGCTGACACTACACATCAAAGTATATCTAACCAAATTATGAAAGACAAGAATTGTTATTTTGAATTCCGTAAAGTGAGTGTGGAAGAGGGGGAAAAATAATTGTTGTCTATCAACAATGACAAGCCACCAGGGTCTGACAACTTGAATGGAACATTACCTAGGATAATAGAGGACAATATTGCCACTCCTATTTGCCATATCTTCAATTTAAGCCTACTAGAAAGTGTCTGCCCTTAGGCCTGGAGGGAAGCAAAAGTCATTCCGCCACCTAAGAATAGTAAAGCCCCCTTTACTGGCTCAAATAGCTGACCAATCAGCCTGTTACCAACCCTTAGTAACATTTTGGAAAAAATGGTGTTTGACCAGATACAATGCTATTTTACAGTAAACAAATTGACAACAGACTTTCAGCACACTTATAGGGAAGGACATTCAACAAGCACAGCACTTACACAAATGACTGATGATTGGTTGAGAGAAATTGATGATAAAAAGATTGTGGGGGCTGTTTTGTTAGACTTCAGTGCGGCTTTTGACATTATCAATCATAGTCTGCTGCTGGAAAAATGTGTTATAGCTTTACATCCCCTGCTATATTGTGGATAAAGAGTTACCTGTCTAACAGAACAGCCTCTCCAACATAATACAGGTAGAATCAGGAATTCCCCAGGGCAGCTGTCTAGGCCCCTTACTTTTTTCAATCTTTACTAACGACACTTTGAGTAAAGCCAGTGTGTCTATGTATGTGGATGACTCAACACTATACACGTCAGCTACTTCAGCGACTGAAATGACTGCAACACTTAACAAAGAGCTGCAGTTAGTTTCAGAATGGGTGGCAAGGAATAAGTTAGTCCTAAATATATCAAAAACTAAAAGCATTGTTTTTGGGACAAATCATTCACTAAACCCTAAAACTCTACTAAATTTTGTAATAAATAATGTGGAAATTGAGCAAATTGAGGTGACTAAACTGCTTGGAGTAACCCTTGATTGTAAACTGTCATGGTCAAAACATATTGACACAATAGTAGCTAAGATGGGGAGAAGCCTGTCCATAATGAAGCGCTGCTCTACCTTCTTAACAACACTATCAACAAGGCAGGTCCTACAGACTCTAGTTTTGTCGCACCTGAACTACTGTTCAGTCGTGTGGTCAGGTGCCACAAAGGCTGGCCCTTGGATGTACACAGAGAGCAAACTACATGGAACTATATTCCACATCAGGTAACTGATGCAAGCAGTAGAATCAGATTTAAAAAACAGATAAAAATACACCTTATGGCACAGCGGGGACTGTGAAGCAACACAAACATAGGCACAGACACATGCATACACACACATGATAACATATGCACTATACACACACGTACAGATGGATTTTGTGTTGTAGATATGTGGTAGTGGAGTAGGGTCCTGAGGGCACACACTTATAGTGTGTTGTGAAATCTGTTATGAATGTATTTTAATGTTTTTAAAATTGTATAACTGCCTTAATTTTGCCGGACCCCAGGAAGAATAGCTGCAATGGGGATCCATAATAAATACAAATACAAATACCCCAAGACATGCTCTTCTCACCATTACAATAACAGGGGAGGTTAGCATTTTTCGGAGGCATGAAATGTATGCCTCTGTAACTTTCTCACTCATTATCCGTAATCATGGTAGCATCCACATTAATGTAGAATTGTTTAGAAACATATTCTATTCTTATTTAAAATAAAAGTGACTCCAAAACAGTGGAGGCTGCTGAGGGGAGAACGGCTCGTAATAATGGTCGGAACGGAGCAAATGGAATGGCATCAAACACCTGCAAACCAAGTGTTTGATGTATTTGATACCATTCCACTGATTCTGCTCCAGTCATTACCACGAGCCCGTTCTCCCCAATTAAGGTGTCACCAACCTCCTGTGCTCCAAAATGACACAATAGATTATTTACCATTCATTTATATTGGGCACAAAATAATCTGAAACACAACCAAAACAAACAGCAAATGCATCCAACAAGTTTGTAGAGTCACAATCTTGATGTAATCATTGCAGTCTCGGAATATGGGACCAAATACTAACAGTTGGACTACTTTAACCTCTTCATCCCTAGGCACCTGGCTAAAGTGCCTGCCTCAAAAATGCATGCCCAAATTGAATAGAGTATATCTCCAAAACGACAAAGGCTATAAACATAATCTTGTTAGCAAAAGAAAGGGAACACATGTGAGATGTATCTTGAAGTGAAATAATGAATGTGGGTATTACTATGTCAGAGTACATGAAGCTAGAACACAGCATAAATTGGGAGGTTTTGATTCCGTCTGAAAGTAACTTCAGGTTTTATAGGGAATGCTTTATTGGACTTATGCAGCTGCAGCCCCTAAACACTATGGGACCATAGCCCAATATCTGATGAGTACTTATGTGAAGTTTGATGCCAATAAAGTAAAGTAAACCAAAGTTGTAGGGGTTTTAGTTGAAGTATGTTTAGGCGGATTACCAAATGGAGACATTTGGGTAGATTTGGGCATCATCAGTGCCATTTGACTTTTATCAGGTACCAGACAGCAAAAGTCATTTAATTTCACTAACATATCACTATATGTGTACATTCCATCAAATTACAACTGTTTTGATGTTGTTTCCAATGTTCTCCCAGACCTCTATACGTGTTCCCATTAAAATAAACCAAACAATGGGAAAGTTTGTCTCCAAACTGAGCAGATTTATTAGAAACTATAAACAACAAATTTAAAAACAAAAAGTCCACACACCCCAAAACTATAAACAATGATATGGTGTCCTTGGGTGGGTTGTCACACAAAATGTAGACCCTTTTTACCCTAAAACCTGCTGTCGTGCCAATCCTTGAAACAGTTATGCTTTGATGTAAGGCACAAAGGGACTTGGCACTTCCTGCAGTACACAGGTGTTTTCACTTTGGGGACGCCAACATCCAGACATCTCCTACAGTTCTTCCTGTCTTTTCTGGCATCATCACCATAGTATTCTGGCATGGTGGTGGTCGTGGTGGAGGTTGTGGTTCAGACTGTTTAGCAAAGCTCACCATTTCTGTGAGTAGCTTTTCCCTTAACTTATTTTGTGTGTATGGCTTAGTGGGGTTGTTCTTATGGAGTTCTTTGTGAAGTAGGAAACTATTTACAACAGCAATATCAACAAAATGAAAAAGAAAAGTATTGTGGTGAACACTGTAGTATCCAATCAATGCGTCGGATAAATCCACTCCACCCATGCTCCGGTTGTAGTCGGCTACCGCATCTGGGACGGGCTCAGTTTTATTCTGCCATACACCACCCTCTTTTACCTTCCTTTTGACAGTTTGTCCACTAAATGCTTCATGTACAGTAGAGCACATGGTTACCTCACGTGTGTCCATCCATTTTACAAATAATACATTTCCTTTGCATATCCACCGCAAATCTCCCCTTTCTGCTTTATTTGGCAGGTTGTTCCTTTTGGTTTGTGGGAAACCAATCCTGTTAGTTCTAATTGTCCCACAGGCACCAGTGTTTCTTCTACGTAATTCCTCAAAAAAGGGCAGGGCTAGAATAGAAATTGTCTACAAAAAGTGTATAGCCCCCACCAGTGGCGGCTCCTGAAAAAATTCTCAGGGGGGGCAATTTTTCTGATGATTTAGGTGACCTACACACATTTTAAAAAAGATATGTCCAGCAACAACATGAAGACAGGGGCAGCATATAAGTCAATACCAGAAGCATTTATTGACTGATCTCAAAAGTGTTGGCTTACAAAAGCAAAATAAGTTATCACAGTAAAAATAATAAAGGGTGTTCTTTCACATTCCTCAACACTGCATAAACAATATGCATTTCCATAAAACACCTCATCTAATTGTGCCACAAAGTTGACAAGTCCAAGAAAAATACCAGGGTTGGTGGAGCCCTCAGTTTCATCTTTGCCTCGCAAAGCTAACTCAAACACTCCGCAAAACTTCACACACTGGATTAGCCGGCTGAGGATGTGGCGGTTCTTGCTAACCTCATCGTTGTGGCGGCGGACAGCTAGCCTGTATCCCTCATCCAGTTGAGTGGCAATGTTCACTCTCCCCAAAGCAGACAATCTCAAACAGCTATCCATGTGGGTCTTTGACAGCTCATGTTTCTTAATCTTTTCTGAAAGATGGTGCATGTCCGTTACACCAGTCGCTGTCCAAGCGGTGCTGTCTGCCGTGCCGCCTTCAGGGTGAAAGAGTAAGCAGGGGTAGCAGAAGACTGCATTAGCTACATCGCAGCCTGCTAGCCAGGTTTTTCGTTCGTACCGATTTTTGGAAAATCCTCGGGTGTAGGACTTTCCCCCTTTAGTAGAAACCTGTTGAATTATTAAATTTGGTCTGGGAGGTCCTAATTGTTTTGTTGCCAATTTATCTTGATTTGTTCGCCGACAAAAAGGAACTTCTTTCAAAGAGACAATCGAGTTGCACTGAACGCTAGCCATCTTGACAGTAGTACGTGAATTGATTGACGCTGCTACCCGCTCTTTTCTTAGTTATGTTCATGGTTATGTTACGTATGACGAAAGCGCGTAAGTGCAAGCCCTCCCGGAACCCATAGAGATTGTATTGAAAGCTCTGATATTTGAAAAAAAAAGATTTTACATGAGAGTCTATGAGAGACTTCTGGGGCGATTTTCAACCTGACTGAAATCGCCCCAAAAGGGGCGGGGCCATTTGAAGCACGACTTTAGCCTGATTGGACATTTAGTGGCAGATCAGACGTCTAGATTAGAACACTGATAACTACTGTTGCCGTGATATAATGGATTAGAAAAAAAATCCCTTCCTTTTCCCATTTGGCAGTGCGTCGCCCATATCGCCCTAATGAACACACCGCCCCTGGCCCCCACCAAGTAGGGGGAATGGCATCAAGTCCATAACTGAAGTGTAGCTTAGTCCCTGGCCTGGTGTGAACACACTCTTGCCTTCATAACCCAAAAAATGCCACATATAAGCAGTATGAGAGTCAGCCAGTACAAATAATTTATACCCCCACTTAGTGGGCTTTGCTGCATACTTATCCTTGCCTTGGATGCCACCATCCTTTCTTCTATGGAGATGTTTTGGTATGGCTGGAAATGTGATTTGCAGGCATTGGTAAGCTCAGTGTACAGGGGCTTGATCTTGAAAAGTCTATCATATTCTGCAGTGCCGTTTTTAGTGTTGTTGGCTTCATCGTCTTCTGGTTTGCTCAAGTGCAGTGACCACATGATTGCTTCAAAACGGTCTTGTGTCATAGTGTCTCCAGGGAAGCGGAAATTATATGTCCATTCCTTCCTCCAGTAGGTGCCCCTCTCGTGTACAGAGACAAGCCCTGAGTATAGCAGAATTGCCAGGAAAATGTAAAAATCTCTCATCGTTAGTGGTATCCAAGTGAATTTCAGTCCGGACTGCAGTCTTTTGGCAGCATTTGCATTAGTGTTGAAAATGATTGTGCGGACAACCGAAGTGCTAAAAAACAGTTGAAAGAGTGAAAGGGGAGACCATGACGCAGTGATGTCGATTGTGGGGCCTGAGACTCTGGTGGGCATAAACCGGATTGGGTCTGGTCGTTCATCATTCTCTTCTCTATTATGCCACCTATCTTCTTCTTCCTCTTCTTCCTTCCTGACTCTTGGAGTGGCAGGCCTACCTCCACCAGGCTTACTTGGATGCGCTGACTTTGAGAAAGCTTTCCCTTTTCTTTTGGGTTGAGGGCTCTTTACAGGGGACTCAGTGTCCGATGAAGACCGTGGTCAAGGGAGGGGAGCAGAAGTGTGTTGTCTAGACAAGCGGCCAGGCTGAGGAAGAGGAGGCTCTGCCTGAGGAAGGGGAAGCTGTGGCTGAGGAGGTAGATGCTCTGGCTGTGGCTCATCACCCCTATAATCCTCACTGTGCAAACAAGACAAAAGAGAAAAGAAAATCATGACTAAAACGCACTTGTATTCATTCATTGACAAATCTGACTCAAAACAGTCAGATATATAAACTAAATAGTTAGAACTATGAGAATGTTGACTAAAGTGATAATTCAGTGACAAGAAATAATACACATAGCATTCTACTGTAAGTAAACTTGCGTGTGGGCCTCTAAACTAAGCTAGCGATAACTTACGTTGAGCTTCAGTTACTCAAATAGATATTTTAGAATGTATGTTTTGTACTCATACAATAAATTAGTAATAGTAGTATTAGAAGTAATAAATAACAATGGGATTACATACTCTTCTGATGCTTGAGTAGGGCCCTGGACACGATAACCTTCGTTCTCGTCGTTGGGGTCTGGTTCGTCCGGTCTAAGCAGGTCCTCATCGTCCGATTCAGAGTCAATGGGGATACATGGAGTCCAACTTTCATCTGTTACAATTAATAACGCCTCTGTAACTGTATATTTGTTACTAGAGCCTGCCATATTTTTATAAACTTTGCTTTTTACCTCCGAAATTCAAGTGCTGTTGTTCAACAACCGGTTGGTCGATTTTGACATGTGACCCCTCTATCAAAAGCTCTGGATCAGTAGAATTACATTAGCACAATTAAAAGGCACTGGGATTGCATCATATATCCAGAAGATGGCGAGAAAACTGTGCCTGTTGTGATTGAAACAAACTACTGACTTAATCTTCAAACACATTCTTGGCCATGTAAAATGATGGAAACTCATTGAAATCGACTCGGAATGAGAGAGAGACACTAGAGTATCTTTTCAAGTGGTTTTATTCGATCAGACACTACTTTTGGTAACAAAAACAACAAAGGTAAGTTTGTTATTGACGTTCTTTGATTAATAGTTTAGTGAGTGTTGGTCATAGAGGAAAAAGGCTACTATTGTTGGAATCTGTGAAGTATCATCTTTCAAATGGTGTATCGTTTGTGTAGATAGGTTGAAAAAAATACATTATCTGTCTACAAATATATGGGCATGCATGGTTTCAAAATACAGTACTGGTTTTGCTATATGCTTATATATTTGCTTGGAGTCTGAATATTATTTCATTTGGGCAACAACAGTTTAGCTAGATTCACAGTTGAGACGCTTCTCGTTCCAGTAGTGTATAACATTCAAGTATTCACACATGTTTAAAAACCGTACTACATCATTGTTTGCGATTGCGGGAGGATTACCCCGGATATGGGGAACCTCGGGCTGAAGAGGTTAATACACATAAGTGAATTTGTCCCAATACGTTCAAATCCAAAGTGCTGGAGTACAGAGCCAAAACAACAACAAATTCCCTGTCCCAGTGTCATGACTCCCTCCGAAGCTGCCTCCTCTCCTGGTTCGGGCAGGCTTCGGAGTTCGTCGTCACCGGCCTTCTAGCCACCGCCGCTCCTCATCTCATCATTCCATTTGTTTTGTCTAGTTTATTACACACACCTGGTTCATATCCCCTCGTCAGTACCTGTATAAGTGTTCCCTCTGCCACCTTGTCTTTGTGTGTAATTGTTTATTGTGAGGAGAGTGAAGCTCGGTTGAGCTCCTTGTATTTTGTATTGCCGGGTTATTTTCCCTGTGTGCCTTGTTGGTTCCAGTGCGCCTGTTTTGCGCACTGGACTGTTTTGACGCATTACTGCGTAATAAATGCTGTTATTCTGTGATTTACCCTCATGCGCCTGACTCCTTCAAATCACCCATCACACCCAGTACTTCTGGAGCTCACTGTAAACTCTGGATTGCTGATGCTATGTATTGGCCAATAAGAGGCTTTGAAGCCATCGATCGGCCATACTGGCACTCCCCAGAAGAAGCAGTCCTCCATAGGAATGAATGGAATTCTACAATATTTCAAGGACAAAATTAGATGTATTTAAGTATTTTTTTATTTGTATAATATAAAAGTATGCATTAAGGTGTCTGTAATAGAATAGATCTGGCAAAAACAAATGTAGACATTAATAAATGCATTTCTATAGCTTCCAAAATATTTGTAACAATGGTGGGGGAGTGTCAAGATGGAGGTGCAGAGGCTTCAAAACAGTGCCCCCTGTCAGTCATCTAGTATATATATTTACATTTATGTCATTTAGCAGACACTCTTATCCAGAGCGACTTACAGTTAGTGCATACATTATTCTTATTTATTTTTATTTTTTTTCATACTGGCCCCCCGTGGGAATCGAACCCACAACCCTGGTGTTGCAAACGCCATGCTCTACCAACTGAGCTACCTCCCTGCCGGCCATTCCCTCCCCTACCCTGGACGACGCTGGGCCAATTGTGCGCCGCCCCATTGGTCTCCCGGTTGCGGCCGGCTACAGCAGAGCCTGGATATATATAAATCTTTGGTCACACACCACTTTGTAATGAGCTGGAGGCAGTATGCATTTTGAAAACATAGACTTGTGTGTGTATCGGGGAGCAGCAGAGGTCAGTATGGCCCCCACTTCGCTTTCCGTTCAGGTACAGCACTTTTCCTCATTAGGAATGATAGCCTGTTTGTCTGTTTACTGCATCGTCGCTGGTCCCAAGGCCCTAGCTATCTGCTGTCTGCCAGCTGGCCACTTGAGTGGAGAGTAGACTACAAACTGCAAGTGGAGTAGCGGACACACTGATTCGCTGCTTGCACACATACAGTACACACACTCTCTGTCACGGACACACACACACACACACACACACACACACACACACACCGCCCCTCACACATCAGCAGCAGGTTGGGATAATCTCCCAGTTCTTTCTGGCCTCTTCCCTCCCTGCTGGATGAGTGTCCTCTTCACTGGGACAGAGAGGTTATTTGCTGTGGACACAGCTGGCATGCAGGGAACCTGATTAAGCACTAGGCCCATTGTAGAAGAGACACACACCTTCAGTAGCCAGGCCCACTGTAGAAGAGACACACACCTTCAGCAGCCAGGCCCACTGTAGAAGAGACACACACACCAGTAGTCAAAACTACCTCAAAGCTCAGGCCCATTGCAGAAAAGACACCAGCCAAATCTCTCAGTCCGCCAAACTCTTCCCACAGTCTTCCCGTTCATTAACAAACAAGTCCACACCTTCCTAAAATTAAGAAGTCAGGGAGGGAATCCATTACACACATTATTGGTTTTAATGATTTAACTTTGCCGGCATAAATGCCAATGAGCCATGAAGGTATCATCTTGTAATATAATATGGTTTAGTCTCACCCCTCTGTTTCTGGAGTTTCAAGGGGAATACTGATCTTGTCTCCATTAAATATACTGTATATTAAATAGTGTACTGTATATCCTTTTATATCACCCAGTAGCCTATTCTTACACAAGTCACATGTATGGGGTGTGCACATGCTGGTGGATTAAAAACACCACGCTTACACACGTTACAACCAAACCTGACTGGTGCTAATCCCTCCCATTCATCTGTAACGGATGCTGCCCAACCCTAAACACTGGTACAGTGTAAAGCAGTGTGGTTTTCAAACAATGACGCTCTGAGAGAGACTATTGTGAACAGAGGGAAGTGTGGAGAGAGGCTTTGTCCTGACTTGTGAAAGCAGAGTGGGAGAGATTGAGAGAAAGAAAGTGAGAAGTAGAGAGAGAGTGTGTGAATTGGAGAGAAAGAGAAGGGGAGAAAGAGAAGGGGAGAGAGAGGAGAAAGAGAAGGGAGAAAGAGAGAGAGGAGAAAGAGAGAGGGGAGAAAGAGAGAGAGAGAGAGAGAGAGAGAGAGAGAGAGAGAGAGAGAGAGAGAGAGAGAGAGCTGTGATGAGTTTAATGGCGGTTTTCTGTGGGCTGCTACCTGTCAGTCACACCTCCAGATGAGTCAGTGTACTGACAGACTGAGCGTTTAGGAGGAGATATTAACCCTAGGAGTCCACTTACTGCTGCTGACACTGGCCAGTTATAGCAAAACCATACAGAATCTAGTAACTAGCTACACACACACACACAGGTCTAATTGATAAGCCATAGACCATACTATTTACCAAGAGAGTTTTCATCTATATTTTTCGTAGCTGTCTATTTAGCACCACAAACCCATGCTGTCACTAAGACCGCCCTCAACGAGCTGTATAGGGCCATAAGCAAACAAGAAAATGCTCATCCAGAGGCAGCACACCTAGTGGCCGGTAATTTTAATACAGGGAAACTGAATTCCGTCTTACCTCATTTCTACCAGCATGTCACCCGTGCAACTAGAAAACTCTAGATCACGTTTACTCCACACACAGAAACGCATACAAAGCTCTCCCTCGCCCTCCATTTGGCAAATCTGAGCATAACTCGATTCTCCTGATTCCTGCTTACAAGCAAAAACTCAAACAGGAAGTACCAGTGACGCGTCCAATACAGAAGTGGTCAGATGAAGCGAATGATAAACTACAGGAAGGAATATTTCGCTAGCAGACTGGAATATGTTCCGGGATTCATCCGATGGCATTGAGGAGTTTACCACATCAGTCACCGGCTTCATTAATAAGTGCATCGACGACGTCGTCCCCACAGTGACAATACGTACATATCCCAACCAGAAGCCACAGTTTACAGGCAACATCGGTACGACCTCCAACGAGCCATCAAACAGGCAAAGCATCAATACAGGACTAAGATCAAATCCTACTACGCCGGCTCTGACGCTCGTCGGATGTGGCAGGGCTTGCAAACTATCACGGATTACGAAGGGAAACCTAGCCGCAAGCTGCCCAGTGACGCAAGCCTACCAGATGAACTGTATGCCTTCTATGCTTGCTTCAAGGCTTAGCAACACCGAACCATGCATGAGAATCCCAGCTGTTCCAGATGACTGTGTGATCACACTCTTCATTGCCGATGTCAGTAACACCTTTAAACAGTTTTACATTCACAAGCCGCAGGGCCAGACGGATTACCAGTATGCGTACTCAGAGCATGCGCTGACCAGCTGGCAAGTGTCTCCACTGACATTTTCAACCTCTCCCTGACCCAGTCTGTAATACCTAAATGTTTCAAGCAGACCACTATAGTCCCTGTGCCCAAGAACGCCAAGGTAACCTGTCTAAATGACTATCGCCCTGTAGCACTCACATCTTTAGCCATGAAATGCTTTGAAAGGCTGGTCATGGCTCACATCAACACCATCATTCCAGATACCTTGGACCAACTCCAATTTGCATACCGCCCCAACAGATCCAAAGATGACGCAATCTCTATTGAACTCCAGACTGCCCTCCCCCACCTGGACAAGAGGAACACCTACAGTGCCTTGAAAGAGTACAGGACCCTGAACAGCTTCTACCCCAAAGACATAAGACTGCTAAATAGTTCGTTAAATAGTTAACCAAATAGCTACCCGGACTATCTGCATTGACCATATTTGTACTAACTTTTTTGACTCATCACATACGCTACTGCTACTCTTTACTATCAATCCTGTTGCCTAGTCACTTTATTCCTAGTTATATGTACATATCTACCTCAATTACCTTGTACTCTTGCACATCGACATTGTACTGGTACCCCGTGTATATAGCCAAGTTATCGTTATTCATTGTGTATTTATCATTACTTTCATTACTACTTTTCTATTATTTCTCTATTTTCTTTCTCACTGCATTGTTGGGAAGGGCCCATAAGTAAGCATTTCACTGTTAATCTACACCTGTTGTTTACGAAGCATGTGACAAATAAAATTTGATTTGATCCAGAGGGAAGAGAAAACCACACCTACTCTGCCTACATTCACATCTACCACCAAATCCTATAAAGTCTCCTTCTCATCCCTCTTCCGTCACACTGCTGCCTGTCTGTCTGTCGGTCTATCTCTATGAGGCCCCCAGAGCAGAGCAGAGAGAGGCTGCTAAACAGAGCCTGACTAATGGCTAAACAAACACCATTATATGGCCTTGATAGCCCAGCCCTGAACAGTCCAGCGATGAGTAGACTAGAAATAGTAGAGCCCTGCCTGCAGCTGAGATTCACTTAATCCCAGCTCTCTACCCACTAATAAGGGGCCTTCACCGGCCATGCCACAGCCCATTGGGGGTCCACAGGAGCCCACTTGGGCCCAGCCGAGCGTGGAGACAAAGCACAGCCAGTGAAAGAGGGATGGAGGGAGGAATGGAGAGGGGGAGATGTCTCGGTCGATTCACTCTCAAAGGGCACCTCTCTACCCCAATTTCAGCCTTTGCCCAACAAACAATGCATTCAGGTGAGAAGTTGTGGGTGGGGGAAATTGCTCATAAATATTCATTTTGGGGGTGGGTAAAATGTTTTGAGTGCGCTACAAGGCCACGCCCCATTTCTATGTGGCTCAAATCTCTAAGGGGCCATACTTTGCTAAGACTATTGGTTTAAACCATTGGTCTTACATTTCTAGCTGGTAGATTTTCTCATAGGCCAATGTGGCAAAATTATGCTGGGGACGGCCAGCTGAGCACGTAGTTGTACCTGATCCCAACACTTTCTCACTTGCCAGAAGTCCACTGGCACGTCCTGATAATCATATTAGCTATATCAAATGTAAATATCTCTGGACAATTAGCTCACAGTGGTAAGGCGCAGCATTCCTAACATCTATTTCTACTTGCGGTGCACGTTCGAATCACCCATGGTTTAATAATTTTTCATTTGAAATGTGAACTTACATTCATTGCGGTATTGTGTTGAGAAGAAAAGTGCAGTCATCACCTTGAAAATGAAGATTAAGAATTAATTACATAAGAAAATACGTCTTCCTTCAGCCTTGTTCAAACACACTGCTAGGGCCTAACAATCATATTATATTACATATAATGTATGGATGTGACTAAATGTAGGCTTACATTGCTTTAATGATCTACAGTGGCTTGCGAAAGTATTCACCCCCCTTGGCATTTTTCCTATTTTGTTGCCTTTCAACCTGGAATTAAAATGGATTTTTTGGGGTTTGTATCATTTGATTTACACAACATGCCTACCACTTTGAAGATGCAAAATATATTTTTTTGTGAAACAAACAAGAAATAAGGCAAAAAAAAAGACTAATTGCATGCATAACTATTCACCCCCCCCCCCCCCCCCCCCCAAGTCAATACTTTGTAGAGCCACCTTTTGCAGCAATTACAGCTGCAAATCTCTTGGGGTATGTCTCTATAAGCTTGGCACATCTAGCCACTGGGATTTTTGCCCATTCTTCAAGACAAAACTGCTCCAGCTCCTTCAAGTTGGATGGGTTCTGCTGGTGTACAGCAATCTTTAAGTCATACCACAGATTCTCAATTGGATTGAGGTCTGGGCTTTGACTAGGCCATTCCAAGACATTTAAATGTTTCCCCTTAAACCACTCAAGTGTTGCTTTAGCAGTATGCTTAGGGTCATTGTCCTGCTGGAATGTGAACCTCCGTCCCAGTCTCAAATCTCTGGAAGACTGAAACAGGTTTCCCTCAAGAATTTCCCTGTATTTAGCACCATCCATCATTCCTTCAATTCTGACCAGTTTCCCAGTCCCTGCCGATTAAAAACATCCCCACAGGGGGATGTTGCCCATTCCAGCCTTGTGTAGGTCTACAATCTTGTCCCTGACATCCTTGGAGAGCTCTTTGGTCTTGGCCATGGTGGAGAGTTTGGAATCTGATTGATTGATTGCTTCTGTGGACCGGTGTCTTTTATACAGGTAACAAGCTGAGATTAGGAGCACTCCCTTTAAGAGTGTGCTCCTAATCTCAGCTCGTTACCTGTATAAAAGACACCTGGGAGCCAGAAATCTTTCTGATTGAGAGGGGGTCAAATACTTATTTCCCTCATTAAAATGAAAATCAATTTATAAAATTTTTGACATGCGTTTTTCTGGATTTTTCTGTTGTTATTCTGTCTCTCACTGTTCAAATAAACCTACCATTAAAATTATAGACTGATCATTTCTTTGTCAGTGGGCAAACGTACAAAATCAGCAGGGGATGAAATACTTTTTTCCCTCACTGTATG